ATACATTATGAGTTACATAATACACATACCAGCAGCTGTAAAAATAATATTCGACTTTCATTGGGGATTAGGACTGACATAAAACAGGTGTTTTTATATTCTTCAGCTGAATAATTTTTTTCAACGCAATTCGTTGTTCGGAAAAAAAAACATCGAACGGACTATAAGCATGATACGTAGATAAATGAACTTCAACACTTTTCAAAACATACATGATTATTTGTCCTTGTGTATACATTTGCGCTGATAGTGTATCTGTAAATTAAAAAAAATAGTTTTTTCGGGCAATTCCTGATAGTGATAAATTATGTGGTTAGTAGCTGTAAAACACAGGTTCAGCTAAACTTTGTCCACGAATGTGGTCACGTTTAGTTGTGTAGATCCATATTTCCGCTCTCACCTCGATATATATGGAAAAATACCAGCAGTTATTCTCTCTCCCTCTCTCTCTCTCTCTCTCTCTCTCTCTCTCTCTCTCTCTCTCTTTCTCTATCTTTCTCTATCTCTCTCTCTCTCTCTCTCTCTCTCTCTCTCTCTCTCTCTCTCTCTTCACTATGTCCACTCAACCTACTAAAGACATATTCTATTCCAACACACCCTAGGACAGTTAGTTAACATTATGACAACGCCATCCTTCATTGTAACATAAAGATGGTTTTGTATATTTTAATGTTGCCTATTGAATATTATATCCTAACAGCCTGATAAAAGTAGGCTACATTATTTGAATTAAAAATAATCGATTCTTTTAACAAAAGAGATATTTTCGTGGTGGTCGGATGGATAAGCACCTGGTTGCTAACCTTGTGTTCTAACCTTAGGGCAGATGAGGCTCGTTAGCTGGGGGACCTTGAAATCAAACATGAGTGGAGCTCCTAAGGGGTCATCTATTATGACGTCTACGAAAATTTCTGATTTTAGACCCCCTCGGCCACACGCGTCCATTTACGACGGACCACCCCCCCCCCCCCCCCCCAACAATGTGGAAGTCCACACAAATTTAATAGACCACTTAAAACTTACTACCAATGTATTGTTTCAATAACATCTAGATCTATTTTTACTTATTTACTGATATAAGGCTTTAATATTTTCGATAATTTCGACACAAACAAAGTAGTGCGCATTTTATGTGCGTGTAGGGTGTGGGATAGGTGCTAACACAGTATAATTATCTCTACTCGTTGAATATATTTTAATGATTAATATTAGCATTTTCCACTTTCGAAGGATTCCCAGTAAAAAGGTATGACGCCTTTCTCTATGACTGTGAGAAAACGACAACTTGAGAAGTCCTTCGTTTTCAGTTAGGAGGCAGGAATTCCATTTACAAGTGTAAGAGATCTTTTACTTTAATTAGTTTTTACTTTTGTTTGACCTCCGATATCCGGAAAGAGTTCTTTACTTTTTTCCCGATTTTTTAAACATTATAACATGTACAAAATTGTATTAATAGGTATACGATCTTGTTCTCTTGCTTTTATCAAATTTTGACAATTAATGATATTGCGTAGAGGTAAGTATTAGATCTAATACCCTAGTTTCTATGAACCTTTGAGAAGTTTTCGGTTACCGAAATGGGTTATTTAATCTATTTCTCGCAAGTAAAAAAAACCTTTATATTTTGCTTTTTCTTTCTCGTATACAGAATATACAGAAAATATTGTAATCGTACAAAAAAATCAAAGTCGAGATTTTCAACTATATCGTAGTTTTAGACCTCCCTGACTCTGAAAAGCTTAATTTTGAAATCTTGTCTGTATGTCTATGTGTGTGTTTCTGTGAGTGTGCTTTTGAACACGACAACTTGAGTACCGTTACAGCTAGATTAACGAAATTTCAGATGTAAGTATTATATTACATTTGTAGTTCTATGTCAAATTTTGAGCGATTTCTGGTAAAAGGAAGTGGAAATTATTCTACTTTAGTGATTTTCAAAAGCCTATAACTTTAGTACTATTTGTGATGGATAGACGAAATTTCAAATATAAGTTCATGATCTACGTTTATGTTTTCTTTCAAATTTTAAGTAATTTCCGATTAACGGAAGTAGCACTTTACGCTATTTCTAATTTATCAAAAACGCATATGAATTTATGAAGTACTTATGTCCAGCACTATTATTCACGCGTCGTTTGCTATTTACATGGTGTGCAATTCTTTTTACTACGAGATTCTATTCTATTTTTAAAAGTTTAAGTATGTAGAAATTGATTACAAATCATGTCTAGGCCTATATCCCGAGTTGCCATCCCCCGTAGAGTTATAAAAAATATTCGAGTAAGTTTACGGGAGTTTACTCCCGCTTTATTTTTTTAGCGCAATTTCCATACTGGAATTGCGATTATTAATTCGTCATTTCTGGATGTGTGTCCGTAGCTTTACCGCAGTCGTATCTCCTCCTCAACGAAGCAATATCGAGGACTAGTTCCAAAAGCAAATATGTTAAGCAATTTCCGAGGATGATTGTGGGCCAAAAAAATTCCCGGAATTCCTTCCTGGATTTCCCGGAAAAGCCAAAAAACCTCGAAATTTCTGGATGTATGGATGTGTGTCCGCAGCTTTACCGCAGATTTAAGTCGTATCTCCTCCTCAACGAAGCAATATCGAGGACTAGTTCCAAAAGCAAATATGTTAAGCAAGTTCCGAGGATGATTGTGGGCCAAAAAAATTCCCGGAATTCCTTCCTGGATTTCCCGGAAAAGCCAAAAAATCTCGAAAAAATGCCGTTTTTGGCCCATATCTCGGCAACTAGACCATTTAGCGACTTGAAACATTTACCAATAGATTTCTGCCATAATTTACAACAATATTGCCGAAGAAAGTTTTCAAAAATATCCTTTCGTTCGGTCACAAAAAAAAAATTTAAATTACATTATACATAATACACTACAGTACTATATAGCAATATAGAGAGCGCGACAACTAAATACCCCCTACACGTCCGCAATATTTTTTAAATCTCGTTGATAAATATTTTTTCTATTTTGTTTTGAATTATTAAAACTACTAGTGTTGCATTATTTATTAGCTGAATATATGAATTATCTCGATTTAAAATTGTTATGGATTACATAAGGAAATTGCGCTTAAATTGTCACTAGACTTTTTATTAACTTGTTTTTATCATGCTCTTGTGAATCCGCATTTTTTTTAAAAAGAATTTTCTTCTATATGTGGTTCCTCTCAAAACGACAGAAGTTGTATCTAACTTGATAACTTCTTAAGACCAACTGCTCAGGAAGTTTTTTTTTTCGAACCGTTACTGTTAGATCAGAGGAGCTTACTCACGCTCTGCTAAAAATCCATATCGGCAACATGTGTTACCGACCGGTTTATATAATTAGGTGCAGCAAAAATAAAATTCGTTGACAGTTTGTGTTTGTGAGGTAAAACGCTGTCAGCATGATGTCTACTGTACAAGAGACGGTCGGTTCCCTACCGGATGAAATAATGAAAACCGTACCTAAACTTTCTTCTATTAAAGACAGGTAAGGAGCGAGACAGGATATATGCTTTAGATCGAATTTCCTACTAATGTTTCTAAGATTCTGTAGAAGTTGAAGATTGTTTCTCAATCTAAATACATATGAACGGTTTATTTTAAATCATCGTGTTACAAATGACAAGAAACATACTTCAGTATATTTTGTAAAACACATTTTTTCTGAAAATGTTATCAAAACTATGTCGTAAAATAACTTGTGCCTTTAATGAACATTGCAAAGCACACAGTAGTGCATTGTTGCATTGAATATGCGTGCTTGGTCATCTGTTGCCCTTGGTTAATTATGCCATCGTTTCTATTCCATCTTCGTGTTGTGAGTTGATGCGTCACGTGATCTTCTTCTCGTTAGTTTAAGTCTTCAAAAGGTGAAGAGCGTGAATTAGTTTAAGTCTTTAAAAGGTAAAGAACGTGAATTAGTTAAAGTCTTCAAAAGGTGAAGACTGTGAGTTTAAGTCTTCAAAAGGTGAAGACTGTGAGTTTAAGTCTTCAAAAGGTGAAGACTGTGAGTTTAAGTCTTCAAAAGGTGAAGACTGTGAGTTTAAGTCTTCAAAAGGTGAAGACTGTGAGTTTAAGTCTTCAAAAGGTGAAGACTGTGAGTTTAAGTCTTCAAAAGGTGAAGACTGTGAGTTTAAGTCTTCAAAAGGTGAAGACTGTGAGTTTAAGTCTTCAAAAGGTGAAGACTGTTAGTTTAAGTCTTCAAAAAGGTGAAGAGCGTGAATTAGTTTAAGTCTTCAAAAGGTGAAGACTGTGAGTTTAAGTCTTCAAAAGGTGAAGAGCGTGAATTAGTTCAAGTCTTCAAAATGTGAAGAGCGTGAATGAATAACTCCCTCCTGTAATTAAGCTCGACTAGATTAGTACAAAGATTGTTTGTAAAATAATGGCTTACCCCTATAGTCTAGGGCTTCTGTGTGCTCGTTGCAGACTATTTTTCAAATAGATTTTGATTATAGCCTATAGTCTAAATTGTATGCACGTATCAATAGTATCATATACGATCTAACAATAGATGAAATCATTAGTTTGTATCATAAACCTAAAAAGGTTTTACAAGACATGAAGAAACATACATGTTTAGATGCTGGTAACATTGGTGTTAGAATGTTTTGATTCTACATTATTTTCTGGTTTAATTGGATTAAGTTATACGTGATAACTGTTTATCAGAAACAATGAAAAATGATTACATAAGAAACTATGACAATTGTGGCAATTGTAATATGGATTATTTCAGAGCAGAGGCGCAGCCACTGGGGGGGGGGGTAAATATGTTCCCAGGCGCCGACCCTAGGGGCTCCATAATAAGCTCGTTTTAGCTGCTACTTTGAATTATAAATATAAAAAATATATTGGGGGGGCGCCAGATTAAAAGTTTGTCCCCGGGCGCCGGGAGGGGTTTTAGAGAATATATCATAACGCTTACAGTGTTAAAAATGAGTTAACAAATAAATTCAATTTCTTTGTTTATTCATAAAATTACTTCCCCAGGTTCGGTAACACGGTTTTTTTCGGCAATGCCGGTGGCTACTGGCTTCCACCGTTTCGTATCGGTGCCGACACTGACTACAGGACACACGCACGGAATATCAGAGACATGGAGATACGCCCTGATGATGTCATGATATGCTCGTATCCCAAAACAGGTGGGCTATATTATGTAGTTTGTTTATTGTTTATTTAAACCTGTGATCTGTATTGTTTATCTGTTTACATGACGTCATATAAATAAAATAGACAGGTAGCTACTAAAGTTTGATTGACTCATGAATTCCAAATTCTAGACTTTTGGCGTTGCAGTTGTGCGCGCTAAAATCCAACCATGCCGACCCTTTGCTGGCTTATTACTCTGTTTTATAACTCCATATCTTCACATATTGAGCTGAATGAAACACACACACACAAACACACACAAACACACGGGTAGTATTTCCATGGGTTCCTTTGCCCAGATTTATTTTGTCGTGAGATCATTTATTCTTGAGATATTATGTCTGGAATTTTCGGTCTCATATAAAATTTAATTTTAATATGCCGTCGTCATACAGGTCTCCATTGGCAACAAGAGATTGTAAACATGCTGATGCATAAATCAGATACACTGAGCAGCGAGTCAGAGAACAACATTTGTTTCTTGGACGTCCGACCCATACACATCTTCGCAAACATCGAGTCGCCCAGACTGATTGTTACTCATGTGCCATTCAGGTTAGTCGATTCTCATCCAGAACGTAGTCGTTGTAGTCACATCTCATCCAAAGCATACGTCGTTGTAGACACATCTCATCCAAAGCATACGTCGTTGTAGTCACATCTCATCTAAAGCATACGTCGTTGTAGTCACATCTCATCCAAAGCATACGTCGCTGTAGACACATCTCATCCAAAGCATACGTCGTTGTAGTCACATCTCATCCAGAGCATACGTCGCTTGTTTTATTTAACCGTGCCAGATTAGTCCACAGAAAGGCAAATATATTTGAATGCGGTATGTTAACGTTAGGTGTTATTTTATGAAAGCTTTCTTACTTTGTAATGAGAGATTAGTAATGTAAGGCTAATTTAATGGAGTTAGTGAGAGCATAGTGTTATTGGATCTTTCTCCTTCCAACCCAAACGTCACTGTAGATGGGCTGTTGAGCTAATGACTACTGATCAAGGCGGAAGAGTTTCTAGATATAAGACAAGCACGACGTGTAGGGTCTAAGTCGATCAAACTAGATCAAAATACCCAGCTGTGGTAAGGGGTGGACGTAACCTAGCCCAATATAAGTCACATGAAAACATTCAGAATCCACTGGCACAATACTCATACTTCATATTATTTTTCTTCCATTTTTTTTTATTTCCGCCCATTATATACCTGATGAAACAAAAAAAAGGAAACAAAAAAAAACAGCTCTAAACTACCGAATAATCTATATCTATATATATATATATATATATATATATATATATATATATATATATATATATATATATATATATATATATAATTCTCTTCTTGGAGACGATAGAAAACAAGCTGTAAGCGCGCTCCCTACCACCCCACCCCTACATGGTCTGGTGAGCTGTGGTTCACGCTAAATGTTTACAATCGTAGAGCCGGGTTTAGTGAGGACTATTAGGGGCAGATATTTTAGTTTGAAACGATTTTAAACTTAGGGGAGGTAACTAAGAGGAATTTACTTTCACGGGGGGGGGGGTAGGGGTTGGGGAAAGGAGGGGGTTATCTTCCTTAACGAGCTACTGATAGTCTTTTAAAGCAAATATTTTCAGTGGCAGCGTTGGTACTGTCGAATTCACAAATTATGAATTACTGAAAATAAAACAACTAAATAGCGGCGTATGATACGCCGCGGGTAGGCTCGTATTATTAAAAGTAAATGTATTAGAATTGTGTGTTTCTATATTCCTTCAAAGCATGATGGCTTTAAAGCTTCAGTTCATTATATTATTCATTTGTTTTAAGAAGGAAACAACAATTATAAGGCAATGGAATTAAGATATGTCTTTATTGATATTTCAGATACCTCCCCAAGCAAGCATTGGAAAAGAAAATTAAAATAATATACTTGGACAGAAATCCAAAAGACGTTCTTGTGTCTTATTACAACCATGTTCACGAGCAAGTATACCCCATGCACTATTCGGGAACATTTGAGCAATTTGTTTACCTCAATCTGGAAGTTGGTTGTGAGTTTTTGAACATTTTATTTATCATTAATTGGAACTTTGATATGAGTTGTATTTGAGTACTTTGTTAATCTTTATTGAAAGTTATATTGGGACGGAGTGGTCTAGCGGTAGAGAGCTGGACTGCTAACCCTTAAGTCTCGAGTTCGAATGCGGGTTCAAGTCAGTAGACCGTCCCTGAGTCCAACCAACTCTGATGGGTACCTAACTAAAGTTACTCGCGTTAGGGAAAGTAAAGGCGGCTGGGCATAGTGCTGACCACACTATCTCTTCATATGCCGAGGTCACAGAAACAAGTGAACTCTACTTCATTTGCCGTCAGGTTTGAAAGGGAACTTTTTTACTTTTATTGGAAGTAATTTGTATTTTTTTGCCATCTGTTTATTTTCGAATGGCTGAACACTGTCATTTAGGACATTATTTGTTCACGTGCTTTGTGTGTATAGCAAATATAGGTCAAATGAGAAATATGCGTCTTTATTAGTTGACCTTGAATAAGAGTTCACGAAAATTACGTAACCAGGGACAACTAAGGCTCTACACATTGAAGGAAGTCCTTCCATATGTAGTGTGTTACTGTAGTGTAGTAGAATTACGACAGCAAGACATCAAAATACCTATTCATAAGAGTTAGTCAGTGAGCAGGTGCAGCAGAGTTATGTAACACTATGCCTGAGCTAATAAAATATAGTTTTCATGAGTTTTGCAAGTGATTCTACATCTCCTTGCATGTCCGTATGTTTAGTTTCTGATATTTTATTGTTTGTGCATGGATATTTAGAGAAACATGTGACAGTAAAAATAGTAAAATGACCCGGACTAAAAAACAATTAAATTACTGTTTGGTCCATAAGTGCCTGATGTCGCGTTTTCGCGACATACCGTACTTATCATCAAAAATAAGTCAAAATTCAAAAACAACTATATACCTCAAATTCAGTGTCAGTATGATGAGAGAAAATCAGCACAAATAATTTTTTACACGCTTGGAACATAATTCAGGCATTAAGGGGTGAAAAAGTTGTTTTACCCGAGCAATGAAAGAACGTTTATGTACTTCTTCATCCTTAGCGTTTCCCATTTCCACAGAAATAACCACGACACTAAACATTGCTGTGACAGCGACACCAATATTCAATCTTCAAATGAATGCAAGTTTACATTTGGGTTTTTAAGGTTTCATTCATACAGAGCAAAAGTTTCAGTCCTGCCTACGAAAAAAAATAATGCCGACCGTCGATGTTCAGGGGTCATCCATTCATGACGTCTACAGAAGTAGGGGGGGGGGAGTCGACTCTGTGGACGCGTGTGGAAGATGGTTCTGGACGTTGTTGTTGGAATATACATTTAGTCTTTTTTTTTCCAAAGTAATAAACTCAAAATAACAACATTAAAATTAGATATTTAAATAACAGCGCATGTAGACTGTGCTCGCTTGGTCAGGTGTGTGGCTGGTCTTACGGCCAGCGCGACCACATGAAAAAGAGGGTGGGGGAGGCGGTTAATACTTTAGAAGCACGTGCTTAAAAACAACCTACGTTACATCTCTACTAGAGATAATCCTATAGTTATAGGCCCATAAGCCATATATATTGTACAGCCCAGCAGAGGCGTAGCGACCCTTCCCGGCGCCCGGGGACAAACTTTTCGATTTGCACCCCCCCCCCTCGAGATTTCGATTTTCACCCCCCTCAACCTTTCAATTTATTTTTCCAACCCATTTTGGCGCCCCCTAAGATCGGCGCCCGGGGACATATGTCCGTCCCCCCTCCGCGCCCCCCCCCCCTCGCTAAGCTACTGCAGCCCAGCGGCCGTTCATAATTGACGTCACGTTAATTAGCAGAATTGTATCCCCAACCAAAAGAGTCAATGTGTACTACACATTACACGGCGACAGCCGTTACGAGCATTAGGACACACCAGATATTCACAATGATTCACAATATATTCACAATGATATTTTCTTTAAAATTTGTTCTACAGCCCACCTACCACCTATTCAAAAAAAAAAAATTTTCCGACTAGCATTATGAAAAATACTGTGAACAATCAAGACGTATAAGTATAATAATGATTTTCCAGACTTTTAAAAGTCTAAAATACACTTCTCTAGAGATTTTCTAGACATTGCACAAACCCTGACCGCCCCAATGCATTAATTAAATAATTACTTGGTAAGCATTGGATGTTCCGAACGAGGCTACTACTTATAACTGTTATGATTGTTAATATTATAATACATCCTACGAGTGTAGAAAATTAACTAAACGAATCCGCTGTTTTAGGAAAGGGGGAGGGGGAGTCAAAATTGAGTTACACGATTTGCCACTAACCCACCTACAAAAGACAAACAGACGTTAAGAACTAAAAAAAAAGCTTTTAAAAAAACAATTAAACAATTATAATAAGCTTTTAAATGCGCTGCAAAAAAAGAAAATATTACAAACTTGCTTTCTTTAACAAAAACTGTAATCGACGGAAACTTGTATTAAATAAAGCGAATTTGTTGTTTTTTTTTTAATTATTTTCAGTGCACCTAACAACTTGTTAGTAAAAAGGTTTTATATTTGTTTTATTTTACACGTTTTAGTATTTTAACGTTGTGAACTAAATGAAAGCTTGTAACTAGCATCCTCCCAATAGTTCAGACGGCTTTTATACACACATTCGACATATGGGTAACATCACATAAACAAACGTGATTAAACTGATCTCACAAACGCGTAATTCCCTCACCTCTAGATTATTCTAAAATGACCTTCAAATGACCTATATTATGGTGATAAGATAGATGATCTCAGGACAAAGGATCTCAGACAAAATGTTAAAATCCAAACTAGTTAAAAAAATTGCCATGAGCTATTTTGTCTAAGATATTCGGTCTAAGATCTTTTGTCCATATAATCATTTGTCCCGATATTATTGTCCTGATATCTTTTCTCTGTGAGATCTTGAGGGCATTTGTCCTAAGATATTTTGTCTTGAATCATTTGTCATGGAAACTGTATTATGTATGTTATCTTATTTTTTGAAAATAATTTTGACCTAAATTTATTTTTGACATTTGCATTTGTCGCAGTTAAACGATAGGGTCATAATTTTTTAATTCTAGGAGTCAAATACCTTACTCTGTTTTAGATCCACTCGATGAAAATTATTGCCAAATATTGTTTACCTTTGCAACTGTTAATAATAATTACGTCTGAAACCAATAAAGGATAGATAACAAGCTATTTTCGTAACATACATTAGTATCCATTTGGTGTAATGTTTTTCAGATAAGTACGGCGACTTATTCACATAATTGATGGATTGGCAAAAAGGTATTGACGCTAATCCGAATATTCCTTTCTACAAATCAGTTTACGAAGACATGAAAATTGTGAGTTTATTGTTGTCTTATGAGCTTATTAAATACCAGTCTGCAATATATTTACAATTTTTAAAGTCTTTAATACGCCAGGAATAAAAATTCAGATTGTTCACTAGTAACTTTAACAAAAATATTTGCTTCATTAAATATAAAGCGTAAGATTAAAATCAATGTTAACTCTCTAAACCAGGATGAAAAAGCTGGCGTGAAAAAACTGAATGAGTTTCTAGGGACTGGATGTAGCGAGGAGCTGTGTGAAAACATAGCAGAGGCTTGTAGCTTCGAGAGATTGAAGCGCTTCAAAGAGGCAAATGCACCAGAAAATAAAAAAGCAACGTTTCGCAATAGACAAATAGGATTTTATAGGAAAGGTAAATTTTATCATATAAAAGTACCAGTATTTTGAATAAGACACTGTCTTAACAAAAATGAATTAAATTAAATTTCACTTAAAATAAAACGTATTCCTCTTAACAAAGCTAGAAAGTCAATAGTGTTTTCAGCACATTTTTGTTTTAAATAAAGTTTATCAAAATATGAAAACATGATGCACTTTGTACCTTAAACTGAAATTGTTTTTGGATTCACAATATTTGCTATTTAGCTGCACTTAACTGTTTAATTCTTTCATTCTTTAAATCTCTGCTATATCTCACGACGTAATAAAACTGTTTCGTGTCTAGGTGCTGTTGGCGACTGGAAGAACTGGTTCACTGAAGATTTAAACGAAGAATTCGATAGGGAATACAAGAAACACATGGCTGGCTACAGAACGGTTTACAAATATACTTTAAATTAATTAAATGATATTATAATACTGTATGCACACAAAATTAAAATCTAGCCTTGCTTTTGCTAACAACAAAATAAAATGTTAAAATGCCTAAAATTAACGTTAAGAGTGAAAATGATCAAATTGTAAAAGATGTGTTACGTATTTTTGTGAGCAATCGTATATACTTGAAAATTTTCTAATGTGTTTTATTTATTTTCCACTTTAATTATTTAAATACAATCATGGCAATTTAAAATAGTTGAGTTTTAAGAACGTTTTACCCATATTATTCCGTTCAAAAATCATAAAAGTTATTCCAATCTGGCAAGCCGGTCAAGTATATATAAAATCTGGAAGCTTGGTATGTGTTATGGCTAAATATGCTCGTCTTATCTTAATGTATTTAATGTACTTTTAATGCCCCAAAATTAAGTGTTTTGAACGGACACAAATTTTGAAAATTCATAATAAATTATTTTGAAGATATGCACTTAAAATGTTTAGCTGAGTGCCCTAAAATATGGAAGAAGATTATGAATTCATTATTTATTGGGCTTAAAATATTATATTTTATGGATGATTGAAAACCTACGAAGAGGTTAATTTTCAAGATGGCCGCCGTTGTCATAGTTACCAAGATTTTTCCATTAATTTTTTAGTGGAAATGCATATGGAGATATATCTTAATAAAGCTGTAAAGAAATAACTGTTTTCTAACGAGTATTAAAAAAGTTTTTTTTTACCGGAGCCTTCCCCCTTAAGAATGTTATTATTAAATTTGAATACATTTCCTTTAATAGCTGATATAATTTTTTAAAAATTAGCTGAGTACATAGTTGTCGCAACAAAACGCCCGCATGCTAAAAATTGATCTTTCTTTTTAATGTGTTTTTTAATCGGAATAATTACCTTTCAAGATTTCCGTGTAGACTTTTCATGTATATATGTTACAGCTTAACATTTTTATATAGACCAATAGTACTCAAAACGGATCTGGCCTTTCAAATCGGATACCTTGAAAGTGTTCAGTGTAAAGTTGTTTTTCTTGGCCATTTTTGACTCTTTAAAGGAGTGTTATTGTCCTTTTCCACCTTCGACTATTTAAACATACGAGCCGACCCGCGGCATATCATACGCCGCTATTTAGTTGTTGTTTTTTCTAAATTTCAGTAATTCATAATTTGTGAATTCAACACTACCAACGCTGCCACTGAAAATATTTCTTTAAAACATTATAAGTAGCTCGTTAAGGACGATAACCCCCCCTCCTTCCCCCCCCCCCCTCCGTTAAAGTAAACTCCACTTAGTTACCCCCTCCTCCCCCCCCCCCCCCGTTAAAGTAAACTCCACTTAGTTCCCCCCCCCCCCTCCTACGTTTAAAATCGTTTAAACTAAATTATCTGCCCCTAATAGTCGTCACTAAACCCGGCTCTGTTTGCAAACACTTAGAGTGAACCACAGCTCACCAGACCATGAAGGGGTGGGGTTGGTAGGGAGCGCGTTTACAGCTTGTTTTCTAGCGTCCCCCAGAAGAGAATTATATATATAGATTGAGAGCTCTTTAATCAAGTTTATTAAGGAGTGTTATGAACCCGTTATTTAACTACTTTACTTAACTTTGACACCTGTATTAGACATCTCAGCTATATAAGCTTCCTGCCCCCTATTAGATTATTCATATAAGTGTTTTACCTTCCTATTTGGCTGTTTAAATGAGTATAATAAAAGAACAATAATTTATGGAATATGTATGATGGTTAGTCTAACTTTTGATCATGGAGTCAATGTTGTGTGTTTTTAAACCATATCTACGCAGCAACCTGATGAAGTGACTGTTGATAAATAGCCGATTTAGTAGATTTTTTTTTACTCATTCACGAAAAACTTTTTGGAATTTAAAAGATTCAATATTTCTTTGTAGGATTTCGGACTTCTAAACGGCCTTCCTCCAACTTCCCCAAATCCCCCCCCCCCTCCTCAACTACATTGTACGGTCTGACGGCATAAAGGAAGAGCTCCATTGTTGTTTTGCTCACAAAATTATTTTGCAAATGACTGTCATTTACAGAGAAACCTAGATAGATATATTCTCGTAGTTTGTGTTTGTATTTGAGTATGGGTTTGAGTATGGCAATTGCTTAAAGTACAACTTCCAGTTTCCGAAAATCACTTAAAATTTCACAGAATCAATAAAATAAGTATTTATACTTATATGTAAAATTTGGTCCACCTAAATGAAATACTATTTACTTTTTCGGTATTTTAGAAACTGTAAATAAAGTAACGTACCACTTCTGGTTATCAGAAGTCAATCAAAATATGATTATTCAAAGAATAGGATCGTATTATCTTAAATATACAATTTAGTCTAACTAACTGAAACGTACTCAAGTTAGCGTGTTTCTACCAAAATAAAATAAAATATCGCTGTTATTTATAAAAAAAAATCTTTCAAAAGTTAATAAAACACTGCATAAAATCTAGCACTTATATCTAAAATTTCGCCCACCTAACGTTAACGGTACTCCTTTTATTGATTTTTGAGAAACGGCAGTAAAGTAAGTACCACTTTCGGTTACCGGAAATCACTCATAAGTTGATACGGAAATACACATTTGATATAGTAATTAATTTTTTTTTTTAAATTTCAATTTAACTGAAACGTTACTCACGTTATCGATTTAACAGACAGAAAGACACACGGACAAAACTGCAACGCCCAGTTTTTCGACTGTATAAGGGTTAAAATGTAGAGAGTTTGATAAATTTGTATATTATAATGTTTGCCCGTTTGAAAGTGTCTATACGTTGTAAATAATAAAGTGCTCAATTGTAAAATGGCGAAATATTTGATTCATTTATTAAGGTTTCACTTATTTCAATTTATACGACTTATAAACATTAATTAGCAGTAATAAAATTTTATAATGCTATACCCTTACATAACTAAATCTAGCAAATCACATATATGACATAAAGGGGCGCTAATCTAATTATTCTGGCATATATTAAAGAGACAGTAATGTATTTAAAGTCTCCATATTAGGCGTTATTTGTTACAAAAACTTTTGAACAAAATATTATGTAAACCGAACTAACAAATGTATATCTTTTAAATACTAGTGACTGTTCTTTCTGCTGTTTTTCTACACAAGGTTATAAAAGATTTAAAATTAATACTAAACTAACTTTTTCTGATACGTTTTGCTGATACATTTTTTTAAATTGAATATGAATAACATACATTGTATTTTACTGCACACTTTAAAAATATATTTTTAAATATGCAAAGATGTGAATATCTATATTCTAATAAAACAGGATTTTGTTTTTCAAGTTTGTATTTTTTGTTTTCTGTCCCGTTAGAGCATCTGCACTATGTTTAGAAATGTAAAATACGTAATTGTTGTGGAGAATAATGTTTTTTGTCCATAAATGTTATACAAACATTTAAAGACGATAATTTATTGATTGATATATTTATTTCTAGAAATTCCCCTTTAATTATAAAAGTACAGAATTAATACTCTATTTACTTATTTTCACAACAAACATTGGCGGCTTCCATTGAAAACCATATTTCCCATTCAAAAGTTGTTCTATATTTTCTGTTGACTATAAATTTATCGATAAGCCTATTTACTATTTTTAATAATTCCCAACACTATTAGCAATTTTCAATAGGATACTCTTAACAGTTCTTCTAATTTGAGTATACAATATTTGTTTCTATATCTAGGCCAAACCAAAAGTAATTATAATTAGTTAAAAACAAAAACAAGTAAAAAGAACACAATAATTAATTGGGTTTCTTTACTAAACTATTTTAGTCCTTAAATATTTGATATACATCTTTGTATTTTAGCTTCACAGAACAAATTATTCAAGAATACACGGAATTTATCTAGAGCTACGAATAAAATAAATTTAAGCCATTTTGTGTCTGTCCGTATATTATAGACCTAGCTCTTTCTAGATTCTAGATATAGAATCTAGGTCAATAATGAGTTTCTTCAATAAACTATTTAAAGCCTTAATTATTTTATATAAGTCTTTGTTTGTTTAGCAATGGATTTAGCTAAATTAGGACATTCATAATTTAATTTAAAATAATTTACGCGTAATAATTTAAATTTCTTTTACACTGGCTTTAAGTAACATAACCCAATATATTTGAACCCAATGGTATATTACCAGCTGGCCTAGACTAAAGTGTAATAGTTACTATTTGGATGGTACGGGTTCGAAACACATTTTGTCAATGGTAATTTTTTTTTCAATTTTCCCTCATATAAAAAGCACAGTTGAAAATGACAACACACGCAATTAGTTATAATTCATTATTATTAGTTTGACGTTAGCTTTAATAAGGGTCGACCATTTATAACGTTCACAATGATTTTGAGCTTTTGACTCCTCTTTCCCTCTTCCACACGCGTCCACTTTCAACGAACCTCTTAAACATGATGCAAAATTACTAATTCACATTAGGGGTCGTCCACAAATGACGTTACACTCGTAGGGGGGAGGGGGGGGTCCGTAATTTTGTGACGGTGTGTGATGAGGGGGAGAGGGGGTGGTGTTCCGATGGTGTGACGTCACACTTTTGCATTATAAAAAAAGCAATGTTAGAAAACGAATTTTGGACGTTATTTCGCGTTTTAGAAAATTGTTTTAATAAATTAAAATAGGAATTGATTAAAATACTCTATTTTGACAGAGTTCAGACAAGATTTTAGAAAAATATCGACGTTTTAAAAAAATTCAACTACAATTTTGAGGGGGGTTGTAGGCTGATGTGTGACGTCATTTAAGGGAGGGGGGGTCTGCATTTTTGTGACGACGTGTGACGGAGGGGAAGGGGGGAGGTAAAAATCGTCAAAAATAGCATGACGTCATTTATGGATGATCCCTTTAACTGATAATGTAATATAGGAATTTTATATTTTCGGTAACATTTTTACTAGGCTTAAAAAATAATTGGGAGTTAAACTTTTCCAAGATGTCGGTAAGTCTACGGCGTGTAAACTTACCGTGTGAATGTGTTAAGACTAGATTTATCTAAAATTGTTCTTTATTCAAAGAAAGATCGCTCCTGTTCTCGAATTTAAAGGTTTTATTTTCCCATTATTTTTCAGGGATCAGAGATTGCAAGCAGTCATAATAGTTTTTTTTTATTGTAGATGCTGTAGACTGTAGACCGAAATTTTTACTGCCATTTGTGACTGTCTAACTATCAACGGCTATAGGGATTCGGGAAAATTCGGCTAATTAGCATGACGTCATTTTATTACTTTTACTCAACTTTACGCTGCATGTGTTTCCATAACAAACCGCCTCTTTCCCTTTTTTTGTGGTCGCGCTGACCGTTAGCCCTACATACCTGACCTTGCGAGCACATTATACACGCGCTGATATTTAAATATGTATTTGTAACGTGGTTATATTGAGTTTTGTACTTGAAAAAAGAACTACTCGATTTACATCATCTTAGGCTTTGGCACAAACCAATGATCTAGGCCTGCCATGATTTAGTTACAATCGTTTGAAATAAATTTGAATACCTTGATTTTTTTAGAAAATTGCCGCGGTCACTGCCCCATCCTATCCTGCTTTTACAAGCAGGATGGGATGGGGCAGTGACCTGGCCTGTGGTATACAGCTGCATTTGTGATGTATTTACCACGAGAACTGCCGATGTATGATCTACATTTTATATGCCTTTTTTTAAACTTAATTTTTAAATGATCAAACGTAAGTATTTCGTGGTTTTATTCGGCATGTGGACGTCCTCATTGACCCGAACCCCCACCTCCAGTACATAAAGGTCAACAAAAATCGATTTTTTTTTCGGACCCCTCCCCCCCCCACCCCCAACCCCCCGTGTGGATGTCATAAATGGATGACCCAATACTTTATTAATTTATTATTCAAGTGAGGTTCGAGCTCAGAAAATATTATACAAATAAATCGATGTCTTTAAAAGACAAAAACACGTGTATATATATATACATATATATATATATATATATATATATATATATATATATATATATATATATATATATATATATATATATATATATATATATATATATATATTATATGTAAATTATAAAGATGTCTTTTGTACTTTGCTGGACCTCAGCATATAAAGGGATGGTGTAGTCAAATCCATGCCTGTGTTTTCTGAGGAGTGACGTATTTTTAAATACGGGGGTCTAGATTTTTGTGACGATTTTTGTGGCACAGGGGAGGGAAAAGGGAAAGATAAAAATCATCAAACAAACGTGACGTCATTTGTGCTGTGAGGATATGGAGGGAAAACATAAAAATCGTCTAACAAACGTTTGCTATTTTTTGAAGGTCGCGAAAACCACAGTTCTACGCAGATCACGTGTAGTCTAGTAAACAGCTAAAAGGCACCATGTTTATCGGTTGGTTCCCAGAAAAAAAAAGCCCAACTGAAAAATGTGCAAACATAAAAATGCGCACATGGAAAAATGCGCAAACAGAAAATTGCTTACGCAGTAAAATGCGCAGATAGAAATGTGCGCATAATAAAATGTGCTAACTAAAAAATGCGCGCACAGAATCTTTCTGGTCACTCTGTTAGTCAAGGGAAGATACTCTATTTGACATCGCAAAAAATTACAATAAACAGTATTTTAAATAAAATTATTTCAAAACTGTGTTTTTGCAATTGTTATTTTTTTTTATTTTTTAACATCTTGTTTATACATGATGTTTATTCAAGCTTTGGAATTAGATATTTGTAATTTACATTAGTACTTATTTGAAAATTGTACACAAATTGCAGTTTTTCCAATCTCACGATACATAAAAATAAATATTTAAACATAAAGACTGGCTCGATTAGTATTATTATATAGATGTCGTCGATATAACCTAAACAGTACTCATAAGATTTAGTTCTCAGACATACATACACACAAGTACACAGACACGCACACAAACACAACACACAGAAATAGAGTCAAAATTACAAAACTAAATTTTTTCTGAATCAGTGAGGATTAAAATGTCTAAAAATAAAAAACATGTATGTTTATGCAATATCCATATACCATCTGATTATCTTTTAACGTAAATTTTACACGTTTTATTATTACATTTTTCTCATCAACAGAGGTAGTGCTTGAGTCAAAATATCTGTGCATAAATTAATTTAACATTTCATCTAAAGTATATTTGTAAGCAGTTCTATATCCAGCCATGTGTTTCTTGAATTCTCTATCAAATTTTTCGTTCAATGACCCTGAGAACCAGTTTGTCCAATCGCCGACATCACCTAGAAATTACCAAGTTTTATTACAGCTTTTATCAATGTTAGGTAGCTCGCATAACGTTTAAAAGTTATATTTATAAAAAAAAAATCACTGTTTTGATCCTAAAAAAAATTTTACTTTACAGAATAAAAAAATTTCAATATTGTAAAGAGTTAGTCTTTTGTTATGTTTTAAAGCGCCAATAATATAAATTGTTGTGACAGAGACGTTTTAAACAGTTTGATTATTAATTCTTTAGAGAATTAGTTCCAAGTGTGATTTCTGTGTTGCTTTAAGGCAACATTAATTGCTTTTGCCCTTCACCTTGAGATAGTAAAGTAAATACTATATATATGGTAATGTGGAGGAGGGGGGGGGGCATCTTAGCTCAATGGTAATTTCAAACAAAAATATACTAGCCGAATAGAGGGGTGTCAAAATATTTTTAATCTTTAGTGGACCGGGGAAAATAGAAATTGGGGAACAGGGGCTGAAAGAAAGAAGCTTCCGAGGCCCAAGTCGTAATAACCTTTGATAAAATTAAAGAAACTTTCACTGGATTTTGATCTTCCTCTTCAAGGCGAGGTAGAATACAGTGGGCTAGGCCTAGATGTCACGGGTGTGTAGGAGTTTTTTTGGAAGCGACGAATTACAATACCGCTGTCGTGACTTAATTTTGACGTAACTAATTTTCATTTTCGCTAACGATTGACAAAACTATCCCTAGACAAATATTATCGAGAAAAGTTATAATTACATGTATTGGGTGAAATAGACACACCCCTTTAACACGTTATAACAATGCTCACTAGCTACATACTGTAGAGAATAATATTTCTGTTCCATACCTTTTCTGTAGAAGCCATTTTTTCGGTTTCGAAATATACCATTTATACTTTCTAATGACGTGTTTTCTTTGAAAGGTTTCAAACTGTCAAATCTACAGGCCTCTGCTATTTTCTCACATAGCTCCTCGCTACATCCAGTCTCCAGAAACGCATTCAGTTTTTTCACACCAACTGTATCATCCTGTTTTTCAGAAGTAACACTGATTTAAATCGAAAAGATACACAAAATAATTGTGGTGATTTTATTAATCCACTAAGCACAAATTGTGTATTGTATCTAGCTGTGAAACGCCAATTTAAAGTAGTATCAAAGGCCTAGGAAGGGGGGTGATTATACAACCAATTGACCTCTCTATTAAAAATTATTGTCATTTTATATATATATATATATATATATATATATATATATATATATATATATATATATATACAATTCTCTTCTTGGATACCCTAGAAAACACCAAGCTGTAAGCGCGCCTAGCAGCCCCCTCTCTTCCTCTCTAAGCATATCCCTACCACCCCCACCCCCACATGGTCTGGTGAGTTGTGGTTCACGCTAAATGTTTACAATCGTAGAGCCGGGCTTAGTGACGGCAATTAGGGGCAGATAATTTAGTTTGAAACGATTTTAAACTTAGGGGAGGTAACTAAGAGGAGGCTGCTTTCACGGGGCGAGGGGGAGGGGTTGGGGGAAAGGAGGGTAGGGTTATCGTCCTTAACGGCCTACTGATAGTGTTTTAAAGCAAATATTTTCAGTCACAAATTATGAATTACTGAAAAGTAGAAAATAAAACAACTAAATAGTGACGTATGACACGCCGCGGGACGGCTTGTTAAATATATTTTTTTTAAAGATGAAGCAATGACTGCAGGACTGTTTTTTGCTTTTTATGTTTAGCAAAATGTGTCCACGTTCCTCTTTCATATATTTTTTTTACACATGATCCCTCATTTGGAGCATACACTATGTCAACACTGCATGAAGGTTTGTTTTTTTTTGTGTCACTGCAAAGTCTTTTACAATTTGAACTCACTTTGTAGTATTAGTATGCAGTGGCGTAGCGAGGTCGGGTGTCACCCGGTGCGGCACTTAATGGTGTCACCCCCCCCCCACAGAGGCGTAGCGACCCTTCCCGGGGACCAACTTTCAAATTTTCTATTTGCACCCCCCCCCCCTCAAGTTTTTCTCTATATATTTTGCTATTTTATGCCTTGGTGTCACCCCTCTAAATGGTGTCACCCGGTGCGGTCCGCACCCCCCGCACCCCTCTCGCTACGCCTCTGTTAGTATGTATCCAGCAAGTATAACAATATGAAAGCGTAAAACCACATCGATCGCTTCAATTTTAAAAATATTAAAATTATGCACTGTGAAAAATGAATGATATCAAACACAAAATCTCATTTTTCTCAAAACTAGAAAACTGTGACAAGCGTGGCTTATCCCATGTGGTCTTCAATTTCAAAATGGGTTTTGCTTAAAAATAAACACAACAAACAATTATTGGCTGTATTTTCTAAGCGTGCTGAAAAAAAAAGAGACTTGACTAAATGTCATGAAACAACGCTTTCATTTGAAAATAAACCACTGACTAATTTCATATCCTCGTACACTGATGTGTAGAATGGAACATCAGGGTTAGCATCAATACCATCTTGCCATTCCATCAGGTAAGTAAATAGGTCGCCATAAAAATCTGAAACAGCATCAATTTGATTAAAAACTTCTCAGAAATGAAAAACTATATTTTAACAAAAAATGTTTTAGAAAAAAGCTTTTTTGTAATAATGCACTAAAATGTAGAAAATAAATTATTTTCTCAAAAAAAAAATATAATAATACACTACTGTTTAATAAACTATAACAAAAAGCGTCATTTCTTGACCCATGTGCCAGATTTGAAACGAATCGGTCAGTTAGAAGTTCCAGAAATTTAGCTCGAGCGTTTTGATCTATGACGACAGAGTAAAGACAGACAGAGGAAGCAAGTTAAATAAAAGCTTGTAAAAATAAACATATTCATAGAATCATTCATAGAATCATTCGAACATTATAGGTGCCATGGATAAAATTGTTGTTGTTTTTTTTTTGTTTTTTTTAAAATATATTTTGACTTCATAACGGCCGTAAAAATAATTTTTAAAAATAAAAACTTAAGCCTAAAAATCATTAGGAAAGTTAATATTTTTAGAATCAACGTTATAAATGTTGCAAATAATTATTTTTTTGAGCTTAAGGGTACAGTTCTATTAATTTTACCAAGCCTAAGATTTGACCGAAATATCACTAATACGTACTAGCCCCGTAGTACTACACAGTTTTTAAAAATTGTTTAATAACAGAATTAAGAATAATGTAAAGGAATAAACTGATTTTATAAAGTGTATTTACTCTGAAAACGATCCAACTTTAGCGTAAGAATGATGTAGTCCAAATGTAGGGTAATGTGGATAGGCGGAGGAACTTCATTTTGTTCTCTTTCATTCTTTAACGTTATATTTTATCTCTGAATTTAGCCGAATTTAAACTTCATCGAATATAATTGAAATTTTTTAAATTTTATAATGATTTGTTACTTTCGCAATTTTTTATTCTCTGCTTTTTCTATCGCAGATCCTTGTTTTCCTTAGTTTCTCAACTTTTTTAACGCACACGGTTAAAACAAATTGCCCTAGGAGGTTTGTATTGTACGCCCTTTCCAAACGTTTCGGAACTTAGTAAGGAAAGTGCCATTACATTGCTTTGATGCACCAATCAGTAGCAACTTCTGAGGACCCTTCTTTTTTTCACGAACTTGTAAACCCGCTATTCTGCTAAGAGGCGAAGCGACCCCTCCAGGCGCAAAGGGCGAACCCATATATATATATATATATATATATATATATATATATATATATATATATATATATATATATATATATATATATATATATATATATATATATACATATATATATATGAGATATTTATTTCTCTCTAATTCTCTCCAGGCAAGATGTCAGGCAAAGAATCTGATCTCTGACATTGAAGTTGAGAGAATCGTAGGCATCGTTCAACTAATTAATCGCGTCATTTCTTAACAAAACTGACTAGTTACATCGTACATTACGCTTTAATAAATTGGTTTCTATTTTATGTGTTAAACGATTTACTTATTTATCGCTATTTTGGTGTAAATCCTACATATCTACCTCGGCGAAAAAGCCCCCCCCCCCCCTTCTTTTTACTTCTCGTATATACGAAATATAGAGGAAGTCTTGTAATCGTGCAAAAACAAAATCGAGATTTTTGCGAATCTCGACGTTTTATGGCTCCCTGACAAGGAAAAAAATAGTTTTGCAATCTTGTCCGTATGTCTGAGTGTGTGTATGTGTGTCTGTGTGTATGTGTGTCTGTAAACACGATAACTTGAGTACCGTTACAGCTAGGTTAATGAAATTTCATATAAAATTTTTATTATTATATAAAAATCGTAGATCCGTAACAACTTTTGAGCGATTTCCGACAACCGGAAGTGAAACTTTTTCTACTTTGAATTTTTCAAAAGCCTATAACTTTAGTACTATTTCTGATAGATAAATGAAATTTCACATGTAAGTAAAAGATCTAATTCTCAATTCTCTGCCTTTTATTAAATTTTGAGTAATTTCCGTCGACCGGAAGTAGTAATTTACGCTATTTCCGATTTCTCAAAAATACGCATGTGAATTTATAAAGTACTAATAATATTTCGCGCTACTGTGCACATTTTATTTGGCGTTCCCTTAGTGTGCAATTCTTTTTTCTACTAGATTATATTCTATTATAGAAAGTTCAGGTAATAAAAATGGATTAAAAATATTGTCTATGTCCCGAGTTGCCACCCCCCGTAATGTTATATTAGAATATTCGAGAAAGTTTAGGGGAGATCCCTTCCGGTTTATTTTCTATTGTAATGTTAACCAATACGCTTTAAAAGAATTTGTTTCATTTTTACGTGTTAAAAGAGTTACTTACTTACAAATCAAGTGTAACTCCTTCCAATTTTAGTCGGCGAAAAAGCACCTCCCCCCTTCTCCAACCTTATCTTGGAAAATGTAACAATGCGGCCTTTTGCGGTCGATGTTTCTTAAAAGTATTTATTTTACAGTTGCATAATCAAGATAAGAAGTTAAATCAGTATGTAAAGGCTTGTAGCCGTTTATAATACATAACTGCAGCTTAAAATCAGATTTTAAATATTTTCGCCCTTTAGGCGCCAAAAAAGGTTTGCCGCCCTCCCCGCCCCTAGCTTACTCGTAGCTCAAATTTTGCTTGTGTGTCAAATCAAATTTTAGCTCGCTCGGCAATCAGTATTTCGAAAAAATATCGAGGTACCGCTGTACTGCTTATTCTTTTCTTATTTATAAAGTTTGTGCACAAACTTTTTAGTTTAGACGGACAATACAAAAAAACAGCACGTGTTCTGTTTAAATCTGACAGTGAAATATAAACTTACAGCCAGCTTCTAAATTAAGGATGACAAACTGCTCAAATGTTCCAGGATAATGCAGTGGCTCTGCAGTTTTCTGAAGGAGAGTGTAGAGCGAGACCAGAGTATCTTTTGGATTTCTGTCCAAGCGGATTATTTTTATTTTCTTCTCCAAAGCTTGCTTGGGGATATACCTAAAGTAACAACAATGCAAGTTAAACTTCGTGTTGCAGACATATTAAAGCGTAACCTAAAACAAACGCAAAAAAAAATTTACCACGCTGAATTTCTATTTAGTTATGTAAGACATCACTACACTACACTAAAGAAAATATCACAACCTTTCACTAAGTTCGGCATTGCTCGCAATACAAAGAACCTTTGGCCACGCCCCTATAAGTAAAACGTAACCACTTTTGACCAAGTGATTTCTAACTTACAACATCAATACCAGCATCACTAAGAAAAAACCTCACAGATTTGTATCGCTTAGATCTCCAACATAATTTCATTTCGTGTGGACATAAATACAAGATTAAATTAATTTAGGACAAGGTTACACTACCTAAACGGCACATGAGTTTCTATAAGCCTTGGTGATTTCATGCTGTCTAAGATATGCATCGGCCTCCCGTCTAGGAAGTGCATGCTGTTCTCTCTCTCTGCGCTCAGTTTCTCTGTCTTGTACATCAACATGGCCACAATCTCTTGGTGCCAGTGGAGGCCTGTTTTAACCCATACACATAAAAAAGGTAAATGCTTTGACATTTACACCAATACATAAAAGTATGTAGCTGTGTAATATAAAAAAGACAACCAGTGTATCTTCAAGATGTTTTTCTCCGGGGGGCACTTGATATTTTCGGGGGGGGGGGGGGGCGGGGGGCAGTCAACATTTTTCGGGGGGGGGGGGGGCGGACACTAGTAAAAGTGTATGTTTACTATATAAAAACCATCTCGTTCAGGGGGCGGTAGACTTTCTTCGAACAGATGCCTGGAAGAAACTCTGAAGACAACATATTTACTCTGGAATCGACTTACCTGTCCTTGGATATGAGCAAATCAAGACATCATCAGGGCGTATCTCCATGTTTCTGATATTACGAAGGTGTGTCCTGCAGTCAGTGTCGGAACCTATAGGTAGGGGGAGATGCCAGTAGCCGCCGGCATTGCCGAAATGGAACTTGTTGCCGAACCTAAAAAGACAGTAGTACACATCAACAAACACGTAGAATTTTGTTGTAAACAGAGCTTAACACTGAGAAACTATCAATACTTTATTTTATATTTCCCAGTCACGGTAATTCAGTTATCTCATGTAAACGGTCATTACCAGAGCAATGCATGCTCATTAGTCAGGCTGTTTGTCTGTGCAATGTTATGAGCCGCTAGTCCCATGGGTTTTGGCCAGACTAAGCATATCGCACTCCGTGGCGCAAAGATAAACTGCAGCGCTGTACAAATGTTCAAATGTTCAAATGTACAAATGTACAAATGTACAAATGTACAAATGTACAAATGTACAAATGTACAAATGTACAAATGTACAAATGTACAAATGTACAAATGTACAAATGTACAAATGTACAAATGTACAAATGTACAAATGTACAAATGTACAAATGTACAAATGTACAAATGTACAAATGTACAAATGTACAAATGTACAAATGTACAAATGTACAAATGTACAAATGTACAAATGTACAAATGTACAAATGTACAAATGTACAAATGTACAAATGTACAAATGTACAAATGTACAAATGTACAAATGTACAAATGTACAAATGTACAAATGTACAAATGTACAAATGTACAAATGTACAAATGTACAAATGTACAAATGTACAAATGTACAAATGTACAAATGTACAAATGTACAAATATATACATCTCATGACGTTTCAACATTTTTGTTGTAGTAGACGTTATGATTTCGTACATTTACGTACCCGTAAAAAAGTCTGTTAATTTTCTTTCACTAATAAATAGATTCAATTGAAGAGCCTAAGTTCTTTGTTATTTATTAAATTGTCCTCTGACCCTGTGTCGTGCTCCTTAATTAATTGCCCTAAACTTCATCCTCTTCTTTGTTCTCAAGTGTAAAGTTGGAGGGGATTTTGTCCAACTCAATAATGTATTATCATTCAACTTGTAATTCGTCATATGGACCTTTGACTCCGAATTCAGCCTTTTTTTCTTTCTGGATTTGCCTTTATGCAACCAAGAATAAATAATAAGGCAGTAGTTGTTTTTGGTTGTTTTTTTTTAGTTTTCCTCCTAGACTGGCAGCTGTCCGCAGTAATCGAGCCTCATCTGCCCGGGGGTTCGAACTCAAGACTTTTCGGTTTAGCAATCATGACATGGTAAACGGTAGCGCTGGTCGTCACAACCTCGACCTTGTTGTTAGTTCGAAACCACACGCAGCCACTTCCAGTTAGGCGTGTAAATCCAGTGTTTCTTCCAGACTTTTTTCTCCGGGGGGGGGGGGGACTTGAAATTTTCGGGGGGGGCGGTAAAATTTCTTCGGGGGGGGGGGGGGTGGACACTGTTAAAAGTATATATTTTCTATATAAATTATATAAATTTCATTTCGTTCGGGGGGGGGGGCGGTAAAAAATTTCGTTGGGGGGGGGGGGGGGGCAAAGCCTGGAAGAAACTCTGTGTAAATCTAAGCAATATTTTGAACTGTTTACAGATCCATCATCTTAAACAATATCACCTCATAGTAACTACTAAGTCTTCAAATTAACCCGCTAGAACTCACCTGTCTATCATTGTGGAGAGTTGAGGTAAGCTCTTCTGAATGCTTTCAGTGTAAGTAGTAACATCTCCATTTTCTTTCGACATGGTGCTGCCTTTCTCTACACTGTACAAGGTTAATATGCCAACAAGAGGATGTCTAATGCAGCAGGACCAAATGGAGGAGTCTTACAAGTGATCTTTATAAAGGTTAACACAGAGCATTAACCTTTCACAAAGGCTTTGTATTAGACTATGACAGGAAGCTTTGTAGAAAGCAACAAAATGAGTGATTAGGCTTAAATAAATTTCAGAGAGAGATTTGAACTCAAATGATTCAGGATCATTTAAGACAGTTATTGCTATGTTATTCTATTAGCATTCAAAAGGTAAACGAAAAAAAATTTGATTGATGAATATTTAATGCATGTGTTAAAACGTCTAATCAATGGGCCAGTGGGGTAGTCTGACTGGAAGCCATATGCTGCAAACTGTCAGTTTTAGACTTTACATCCTATCCCCCCTCCCTTTTCATCGCCGTTAACCTCATTAATAATTATACATTTTCACCTGTGCATTTGACCCATGTTATTTTGCGATAGATTTACGGATAATTAAGGATTAGTTAAGGATATAATAGGGAAAGGGATTGGATGGTGATGGTGATGGTGATGGTGATGGTGATGGTGATGGTGATGGGGATAGGGATAGGGATAGGGATAGGGATAGGGATAGGGATAGGGATAAGGATAAGGATAAGGATAAGGATAAGGATAAGGATAAGGATAAGGATAAGGATAAGGATAAGGATAAGGATAAGGATAAGGATAAGGATAAGGATAAGGATAAGGATAAGGATAAGGATAAGGATGAGGATAAGGATGAGGATGAGGATGAGGATGAGGATGAGGATGAGGATGAGGATGAGGATGAGGATGAGGATGAGGATGAAGATGAGGATGAGGATGAGGATGAGGATGAGGATGAGGATGAGGATGAGGATGAGGATGAGGATGAGGATGAGGATGAGGATGAGGATGAGGATGAGGATGAGGATGAGGATGAGGATGAGGATGAGGATGAGGATGAGGATGAGGATAAGGATAAGGATAAGGATAAGGATAAGGATAAGGATAAGGATAAGGATAAGGATAAGGATAAGGATAAGGATAAGCATAAGGATAAGGATAAGGATAAGCATAAGGATAAGGATAAGGATAAGGATAAGGATAAGGATAAGGATAAGGATAAGGATAAGGATAAGGATAAGGATAAGGATAAGGATAAGGATAAGAATAAGGATAAGGATAAGGATAAGGTTAAAGATAAGGATAAGGATAAGGATAAGGATAATGATAAGGATAAGGATAAGGATAAGGATAAGGATAAGGATAAGGATAAGGATAAGGATAAGGATAAGGATAAGGATAAGGATAAGGATAAGGATAAGGATAAGGATAAGGATAAGGATAAGGATAAGGATAAGGATAAGGATAAGGATAAGGATAAGGATAAGGATAAGGATAAGGATAAGGATAAGGATAAGGATAAGGATAAGGATAAGGATAAGGATAAGGATAAGGATAAGGATAAGGATAAGGATAAGGATAAGGATAAGGATAAGGATAAGGATAAAGATAAGGATAAGGATAAGGATAAGGATAAGGATAAGGATAAGGATAAGGATAAGGATAAGGATAAGGATAAGGATAAGGATAAGGATAAGGATAAGGATAAGGATAAGGATAAGGATAAAGATAAAGATAAAGATAAGGATAAGGATTCACTTTTCTGCCTGTGTAATTGTAAGAAAAAACAGATGCACATATATTATTCTACTACTCAGACTGAAACATTGACAGTTCATATTAATACTATAGCAATATTTGAAATGTATAGTCTACCGTCACGTGACCTGAGTCACGAGCTAAATAAGTTCACTAGGTCAAATAATGTATTCAACTTCAACGTATAATAAGGTGCAGTTCGCTGCACATGTATTGCAGATCAGACAACACCGCCGTCATTTCTGACAGTTTTAGTGTAAGGCTTACACTAAAACTTGCTTACACTGCAAGTTACAAAATTAGATCTATGTTCTCCATGAATTTATCATAGGAATAAAGCCCTCATGTTGGCTTTCGTTCATTTGTCGCATTCGAGCAAGTGTCCATTTAAGCATTTGTCGCATTCGGGCAAGTGTCCATTTTTACATTTGTCGCATTCGGGCAATTGTCCTTTTTGGCATTTGTCGCATTCGGGCAAGTGTCCATTCCGGCAGTTGTCGCATTCGGGCAAGTGTCCATTTGAGCATTTGTCGCATTCGGGCAAGTGTTCATTCGGGTATTTGTCGCATGCGGGCAAGTGTCCATTTAGGCATTTGTCGCATTCGGGCAAGTGTCCACTCCGTATGTCCGTATGTCTGTGTGTGTATGTATGTGTGTATGTGTGTATGTGTGTCTGTAAACACAATAACTTGAACACCGTTACAGCTAGGTTGATGAAATTTCATATATGAATATTATACCGAATTTGTAGTGCTGTATCAACTTTTAAGCGATTTCTGGTAACCGGAAGTGGAACTTATTCTATTATCAATTTTTCAAAGACCCATAAACTGAGTTCTGTTTCAAATAGATTAACGAAATTTCACATATAAGTAAAAGATATCCTTTTCTGCCTTCTATTAAACTTTTAGTAATTTCCGTTTACTGGAAGTAGTAATTAAAGCTATTTCCGACTCCTCAAAAAACGCAGGTGAATTTATAGAGTAGGGCCTACTAATAATATTCCGCACTATTATACACATATTATTTAGCGTTCACTTGGTGCGCAATTCTTTTTTTCTACGAGATTCTATTCTATTTTAAAAAGTATAAGTAATTAAAAATCATGTCTATATTCCGAGTTGCCATCCCCCGTAGTGTTGTATAAGAATATTCGAGAAAGTTTAGGGGAGATTACTCCCGTTTTTTTTTATTCCACTCTACCAATGCTGCGACTGAAAATATTTTGATTCAAAATACTCTCATTAGCTCGTGAAGAGCGATTATCCTCAACCTACCTCCTCTCACCCCCCCCCCTACCTTCGTTTCTATTGTTTAATACTAAATTATCTGCCCCTAATAGCCGTCACTAACCCGGCTCTAAGATTGTAAACATTCGTCGTGAACCAAAGCTCACCAGATTGGTGTGGGTGGGGGTGGTAGCGATTTGTCTGGAGAGCGGGGGAGCAATGGCGTGCGTCTACGTCTTGTCCTGCATGGTCCCCGTGAAAATAATTATATACATAGATAGAATAGGGTTTGTTTATATAACGACTTAAATCTATTTTATAATTACCATTGTTTTTACTCTTTCGCATAACGTAAAGAAAATATTAAATACACGCAAATAGCTAAAACATTTCAAACGGATCAACGTGGATACATTTTAATAACATAATAATAGTAGGGTAGAAAAAACTAATAAATTAAACTTTTTTGTAATTTTGCTAAAAGAAGTAATTTAAAAATAAATTCAACTCACGATTAAAAAATGTGAATGCGAAATCTCCAAGACGGAATAATTGTTGGAATAATATAATTAGTAAAATGTGAATGCAAATTCTGCAGACTATTAAGAAGACATTATTGTTGGAATATTATAATTAGCATGGATTGATAGAAGGCAATCTTTTATTTCTTGTATTCACTGAACGTCCTGTCTCAAAAGAACTCGAAACTTTTACATGATTATATATGCTGTCAAAAACCTAAAAAGAAAATTTGCATTTTTTAAAAATCGCACTCTCTTTAAGCAGCATATTATATGAATTTTCACCTTTCAAAACGGTGTCTTAACAAATTTGGTTATTCCTAAAGCCCGATTACTCTGGAAGTGACACCCGACCTATATCAGAAGAGGTCACCCACGATTTATTTTCTACAATATCAAATTGGCAATGTGTATTACCGACTGGTTTACTGATAAAATGGTGTCACTAGGTTCTGAAAAAAATCGTTTACGGTGTATCTTTTATGATACAGCATAGTCAAATTAGCTAGAAATAATTATAATTTTCTAAAAAAAAAATTTAGCAGTAGACGATAGCAGTTCTCCAATTTAAAAATAAACACGATTTTTTATAATTTTAAATTGTCGTGTTACACTTGACATATTCCTCCTGCCTGGTATGTTATAAAACAACTTTCTTGAAGGATATTTTCAAGTAGATACGTATTAAAGTAACTGTGCCTTGCGTGAACGTAGCACAGGACATAGTACTGTAGTGGTGGAGTGACTATATGTGTTATGGTTGGACTAGTGGTGTATGGGCATAGATGTGCTCTCGTTCCTATTCTCTCCTCGTGTTGTAATAAAAATTCAAAACCGATGATTTGACCAAATTAAAAAACTAGATACAATGTACATAATAACTGCAGGCTATGAAGTTATTTTCATTAAATTTGATACGCTTACTTTAATCCTTAGTAATACTATATTTCACATAAAAAATTTGAATTTGGGTCAACAGTGATTAAGCTAGAGTATGGCATATTAAGAACCTTTGTACATGTGTATAGATTCATTGGGGTTAGTTCACTTTGGAGCAAAATTGATACAATATAAAAATGAAGGGTTAACGTGTACAGATGGTCCAAGTTCCTATGTTTATTTTTTTAATGTTTGAAGTTGCGAGCTGCATAAAAATAATGTATGGAGCTCGTGAGTTGCTTACATCAGGTTTAAACTCCATATAGTATGGACAAGTACGTTTGTGTAAACATGTGTACATGTCTGTTGTAGTGGATTTTGCGTCTCCTCTGACCCTGTGCACCTTAATGGCGTGGTAAACTTTTTTTTCTTCGTTCTAAATATACATTTTGGGAAGGATTTCCTCCAATACATTTAAGTATTACGTGTGAACTTGTTTTGCGCCATATGGACCGTTGACTCCGATTTCAGACTTCTTTCCGTTCTGGATTTTCTACCAAAGTCTTAGTCCAAACAAGAACAATCTAAAAAGAAGCAGTAGTTGTCGGTTTTTTTATGTTGCTGTCTGCAGTAATCAAGCATCACACGCTGTGGGTTCGAACTTGGGACTTTTCGGATTAGCAGTTGGATTACCGACAGTTCACAACCTTGACTATTCCTATTTCTAGCTAGGTCTAAGGCTAAAGATAGGTTTAGAAACAATAATAGGAATAGACATTGGACTAGGAATAGGAATTGAAATACGAATACCACTATAAACAGTATTATCTTGAATCGTTTACGTTTTCTTCGTATAAACCAGGGGTCTCCAAACTACGGCCCGCGGGCCGAATGCGGCCCGCGAGGTCCTCTCATCCGGCCCGCAGATATCTTTTTGTCCACGGAAAAAAACGTTTGTTGGTGATGGCTGAGGAACTTTTCCCAGAAAAATCAAAGACATGCCTGGAAGAAACTGGCCCCCGAACTGAAATTTGATAGTTAATGCGGCCCTCGAACTGAAAAGTTTGGAGACCCCTGGTATAAACCGATATCACCTTCATAATGACTACTAACTCTATATCTTAACCTGTTGAAACGTCCTGTCGATTATTGTGGAAAGCTGAGGTAAGCTCTTCTGAATACTTTCCGTGTAAGTTATCTTTCGACATGGTGCTGCCTGTGTCTGCAATGTCTACCATGCCAACGACAGGATGTCTAAATGTGGTAGGTGTAGGCCTATAACTCATCCAGAGGCGTAGCGACCCTTCCCGGCACCCGGGGACAAACTTTTCGATTTGCACCCCCCCCCTCAAACTTTCAATTTGCCACCCTCCCCTCGAGATTTCGATTTGCACCCCCCCCCCCCTCAAACTTTCGACTTGCACCCCCCCCCCCTCAAACTTTCGATTTGCACCCCCTTAACCTTTCAATTTATTTTTCCAACCAGTTTTGGCGCCCCCTAAGGTCGGCGCCCGGGGACATATGTCCCCCGCCCCGCCCCCCTCCCCCTCTCGCTACGCTACTGAACTCATCCTAATAAAGGAAACCTTAGCATAGCAGGAAACTCACAAACAGCGTGGCATTTAACATATGTAAAACGGCGATGCATTAGGATATGATAAAATAGCTTTATAGGTGACAATTTAGAAGTGAGTAAGTAAGCTTAAGCAAAGTTTTATTTGAAGAGTGAGGCTTTGAACTCAACTTGTTAAGACTTATTTACGACAGTTATTGTTTTGTTATTCTACGTGCATTGAACCGAGAAAATTTTAAAATCTAATGCGCATGTTAAAACGACAAATAAATTGAAAGGTGGGGGTAGCAGAATGTTGCAGATTATCAGTTACACTTGACATATGACCCTCGCACCTTCATTCAGAATCCTCCTAGCCCTAAAACTAGCTCTTCCCTATATACAGAGGGTAAATACCCTGAAATCTTTGTTGAAATTACCCTCTGTTTTTAACATAAATTACGAAGATTATATAGGGAAATACGCCTGGTCAGTTTTAACGCATTTCCAGATTTTTCCCGGATATGGCGATTTTTTTCTGGAACCCCACAAAATATCAAGGGTGGTCGTTCGGCAAAAGTTGTTTTTTTTGTAACATAGCACATATATAGAGAATTTCACTGACGGTCACATTTTAGCCCTCGTCAAGGGCTTTGAGTCAAATCGACAGATTTTCCGTACGGCCTAACAATTTACATAGGAGAATGTCAAAAATTAGCCTGATGTACAGAGGGTAAGTATCCTGAAATCTTTGTTGAAATTACCCTCTCTTTTTCACATAAAATACAAGGATTATATAGGGAAATACTACTGGTCATTTTTTACCCATTTCTAGATTTTTCTCGGACATGGCGAATTTTTCTGACACCCCTGTGCGGTCTTCTATCACCTCACAAAATATCAAGAGGGGTCATTCGGCAAAAGTTTTTTTCTTAATATAGCCCATAAAAGAGCCCGTCAGTGGAGGTCAGTTTTGACCCCCTCTCCATGGACTTTGTGGCCGACCGGCAGAGGCTCTCGTGTTCTATCGCCCCAATTCAGGATCCTGTCAGATTTGAAGCGCCCTCTGTGCCAGGAAGTGACCTATCGGGCACCCGAGCTTTTTGCTTTATATAGATATATAGTTAGATATATAGATATATAGATATATAGATTTATAGATATATAGATTTATAGATTTATAGATTTATAGATTAATAGATATGTATATGTATATGTATATGTATATATATATATATATATATATATATATATATATATATATATATATATATATATATATATATATATATATATATATATATATATATATATATATATATATATATAGTTGTGAAGCGTCAAAATTTGTTAAAATATCGACTCAGATTTTTTTGCACGATTATAAAGCAACTTTTATTGTGCACTATTATAATACTTCCTCTATACCAGTGGTTCCCAACCTTTTTCGAGTGGCGACCCCCTTTTATAAAAAGTAAGTGACCCGCGACCCCCATAGAATTAAAAAGCCGAAATTAGTAGGGAAAATAAGCACTAAAATAAGATTTTCTAGTAGACTTTCAATATGAACTACTCTTGATAACTGTTTTAATAGCATGAGTAAAATTGCATACTATTCACTAAACCTTCGTGGTTATTTAACATTTACGTACATGATGAGATTTTCTCTTATTGTTTTTTTTTTTTTTTGCTTGGAATTTTCTATCGCGACTTCATTTGATGCTTGCACTAATGCTGGTGAAAACTTCCTGTTCGATCAAGTCTCTGGCGTTTGCAACTAGCTTCTTACCGACGAAAGAACTCCATGTATTTTTTGGTGTGTTCCGAATGACTCTTCTCAAATGACGTTTTAGTTTTGAAGATTTCATTGATTCGTGACTGAGAACAACTTTGTACAGTGCACTTTGTTTCTTCTCTATTATATTTCCAGTGATGTTAATGAAGCCGAATTAAAAAAAATGCTTCTAAATATTTATGTTTTGTTTCAAATTACTAAGGTTTAGTATACCAGTTGGCGACCCCCCAGAAAGACCTTCGCGACCCCCAGGGGGGTCGCGACCCCCAGGTTGGGAACCCGTGCTCTATACTCTGTTTGAAACAAACAATATTAACAGATTCAAAGAAAAAGAAAGCATTAACTTTCGATGCTACATTTGTATTAATATATTTTGAGGAAATCGACTCAGATTTTTCAGACATTTTAAGTTTGTCTAAAAATTACATTTAGCTTTGATAATACATGTCGTTATATATTTACAAAATTATGATTTAGTCCTAAAGCATTGTTCTTTTAACATAGTTACACGAAAGACATTAGAAAAAGTAAGATAGTCTGATGTAAATAATGCAACATTTTACAATATTTATAATTTTGTTTGGTAATTTACCTTTTTGCAAGCGAACGATAAAACTATTGCAAAAACAAGCAATATTAACTAGATTTAGGCTTAGTTATATATTTTACCCTCAACAGACGATTCATATAGTACATAGTATGTGTGGTATTTATTTAGAATTATTAAAGAAAATGTGTTAGTTTGTTTTAAATACCTTGAGCTCCAAGCAGTTTTCTTATTAATCTTATAGTTAAATACAATTTTATCAAGGTCATTTTTCTTTTAGGATATTAATTTTTTTATTTTGTTTTTTATGTATTCTAACAAAGCCAGTGCTAGAGAGTCCTAATATGTGCATAAATTAACTTAAAATTTAATCTAATGTATATTTGTAAACAGTTCTATATCCAGACATGCGATTCTTGTATTCTCTATCAAAGTCTTCGTTCAATGTCTCGGAGAACCAGTTTGTCCAGTCGCCAACATCACCTAGAAATTATCAAGTTTTAATATAGCTTTATCGTCATAAAACAGTTCTTATTATATTCAAAAGCTACAGCGTTTATTCTATAAACAATATCATTTTAATATTCCTAAAATGTTGTTGATAGTGCATGTATGTGATTTCCTTTCGTTGCTGCATTAATTTTAATGAAAGGTTTACTTTCATTTTCTTTCACATTAGTATGGTAGTAAGTGTTAGAATAAATAAAGGAAGCGTTACTTTTTAGAGGTAATGAAGAATAGAGAAAGACAGTTATACAATAGAAAACATTATTAGTTTACAACTTCTTCAAATAATAAAATCACCCCATACCTTTTCTATAAAAGCCATTTTTTCGATTACGAAATAAACCATTTAATTTTTCCGATGACGTGGTCTCTTTAAAAGGTTTCATACTGTCGAAGCTACAAGCATCTGCTATCTTCTCACACAGCTCCTCGCTACATCCAGTCCCTAGAAACTCATTCAACTTTTTCACGCCAGCTTTTTCATCCTGTTTTAGAGAAGTAAAATTAGTTTTAATTTGAATGTTTCGCTTGAAATAAATAATAATGATTTTTTAAAACCATTTAACACAACTTAAGGGATATCACTAACATTCGAAAAAACCTTTAAATTTGATATACTGTCAAGGAAATTTGTTAAATTTTGTCGACAAAATAGAGATATTACTAAAATTCCATTTAACGTTGGTTACAATACAGAACCTAACTCACTAATTTCATTTCTTCGTAGACTGATGTATAGAAAGGAACATCAGGATTAGCGTCAATACCGTCTTGCCAGTCCATCAGATAGGTGAACAAATCTCCGTACACATCTGAAACAATTACCAATGTTTAGAGAACATGCAGTTTCTCAGTAAAACAAAAAGTGCTAAAAATATGCAGTGTTAGAAATCCAGTGATCAAGTATTAAAAAATGTTTATATTAATCTCGAGGTCAAGATATACGAGTTTTTATTCGAGTATTACTATCTGGATTATTTTAGCTTTACGACGATGACTAATGTAAGGATTAATTTTTTTTTTTAATCTAGTATTTTAATAAGAGGTCATTTTCAAATAAGAGCAAGGGTACGCGTACAATCTGGTATTTAACTTTTTTAATGATTGGGTAAAGATATAATAACCACCATCTTTCATTTTGAACGAATACTTCAAAAAAAATATCTTAATAAAAAAAACTCACAACCAATTTCCAGGAACAGACGAACAAATTGCTCAAACGTCCCCGGATAATGTAGAGGCTCAGCGTTTTTCTGCACGAGAGAGTACAGCGAGACAATTGTGTCTTTTGGATTTCTGTCCAAGCGGATGATTTTTATTTTCTTTTCCAACGCTTGCTTGGGGATATATCTAAAATAACGAGAATGGAAGTTATAGCTTACTTGTTGTCACAGAAACTCTTATACAAAAGCTCAACTGAGCTTTCTAGCTTTTTACTAACTATGGCTCTACAACATTCCATTGAAGGATAAATCACGAACATTCATCAAGTAATACATCATCACATTCCACTACAGAAAACATCGTCAATATACACCAGGTAAATATCATCATACTCCACTAAGAAATTATACCCCCAACACACACACCATTCATCATGCAAGACATCACAATAATCAACCAAAGAAAACATCACCTCCTAAAACCTAAAAATTCTTGAACAACTATAAAATATAATAAAAAAACATTATCGTAAATTGACACATAATAATAATAATAATAATAATAATAATAATAATAATAATAATAATAATAATAATAATAATAATAATAATAATAATAATAATAATAATAATAATAATAATAATAATAATAATAATAATAATAATAATAATAATAATAATAATAATAATAATAATAATAATAATAATAATAATAATAATAATAATAATGAAAATTATAATCATAAAAATAATTATAACCACAATCCTAATCATAATCATAATCGTATTTATAATAAAACTATTAACTTAAAAATATTATCTTAAAAAAATATTAACTTAAAAAAATATTAATTTAATAATAATAACAATAACAATAATTATTATTATTATTATTATTATTATTATTATTATTATTATTATTATTATTATTATTATTATTATTATTATTATTATTATTATTATTATTATTATTATTATTATTATTATTATTATTATTATTATTATTATCATCATTTTTATTAAAAAGAAGAAGAATTTTACAAATTTATATATATATTTTTTTAATAAACATACCATTTAATCTATTTAAAAAAGGTAACACTACCTAAACGGCACATGAGTTTCTATAAGCCTTGGTGACTTCATGCTGTCTAAGATATGCATTGGTCTCCCGTCTAGGAAGTGCATGCTGTTCTCTCTTTCTGCGCTCAGTTTCTCTGTCTTCTTCATCAACATGGCCACAATCTCCTGATGCCAATGAAGACCTGTTTTTTAATTATGTGCGTAAATGGTAAATGATTTGACACTCACGCCATTACATAAATGTAATCAATTTAAACAGAAGGCAATACATTTACCGGAATAGACTTACCTGTCCTGGGATACGAGCATATCATGACATCATCAGGGCGTATCTCCATGTCTCTAATATTACGTAGGTGTGTCCTGTAGTCAGTGTCGGATCCTATAGGTAGCGGGAGATGCCAGTAGGCGCCGGCATTGCCGACATGGAACGTGTTGCCGAACCTACGAATTCAAAGCCATTCAAGAACTAGAAATTGAAATTCAGTTGATTTTACTAAATTATCATCAGACAAAAATGATAAATAATAATAATAATAATAATAATAACATAAAAAAATGTACTTATATTTTAACAAAATGATTGCTATATTGTCTAATAATAATAATAATAATAATAATAATAATAATAATAATAATAATAATAATAATAATAATAATAATAATAATTATAATAATAATAATAATAATAATAGTAACGAAAATTTATTTTTATTTTAACACTTAATCCAAATGATTGCTATGTTGTACTGTTTACGCTAAGTACGTTTTGAGAAACTAAAAATTTAAATTGTAGACAGTTTTCATTTTTGAGCCGTTCAATTCTCTATCGTTGTAGAAAGTTGCTAAACCCGTCTTAATAATTTAATTAACATTGCTGATCCCTCGTCTCACTAATATCTAGGCTTTACTTCTATGTGAAATACACGCTTACCCGTCTGTCTTTGTGGAAAGTTTAGGTAATTCGTCTTGGTAAATTAATTGACATTACTTCTATGTGAATTATATGCTTACCTGTCTGTCATTGTACAAAGTTGAGCTAAACTTGTCTTATTAAATTAATTGACATTACTTCTATGTGAAATACATGCTTACCTGTCTGTCACTGTAGAAAGTTGAGGTAAATTTGTCTTAACAATATCAGTAACTGCAGTGACCGTCCCATTCGTTTTCGACATTGCCCTGCCTTCGTCCACGCCGTTCATGGAGAATGACAAACCAGGGGATGTGCAATGCTTCAGGTATTGACAGCTGATACCGATTGCACATCGTTATATAAGACCCAGTGGATGACACGACGTATTCATGTTTGATCGAGAGAGGGGATTTAAACGATGACGGAAAGCGTTGTAGATGCTTTGAAATTGACAGCGAGTGGGTATAAGGAGGTAAAAATACATTGAGTACAGAGAGAATTTTAAATTAGTTAGTACAGAGAGAATTTTAAATTAGTTTCATTAAAGTTAGTGCTGGTTGCACGGTATCGATTAACATTAAATAGATACAACGAATAACTGATAATTAATGAATATTCAGTGAATATGTACAATACAATCATTTGTATGGGTTACGATAACTAAATTTTCTAGAAAGGTGTAGTTATCGCACGTGTGCATCAGCACGTGGATTGGTGCAGGCATACGGGGTGGGGATAAAGAGGTAGAAACAAGTGTAAAAAGTTAATTTGAAGTTAAATTTATAAGGAGCCGAAATAAAGATGTAGAAAAAAAAAGAAAAAAGTTCATTTCAAGTTAAATTACTGAATTTTATCATGCCGAAGAACAGACTACTACTACAAGACTGAATTTACTGATTTAACTGTATTCTTTAAATATTGTACAACAACAATATAAAAACTTTTAAGGGTGAGTGACTGCTATAAACGAAGCAACCTTGTCTAACTCAGGTGGTGAGTAGAATCTTTTTTTTCGCCACGATAAATCTAAAGGTTTTCATTCAATTAGATTTTAAATAAATTTTAATGTTAAAATTTTAAAAATTAATCTTTAGTTCAAATATCAAATACATTTGCAATTAATAGATTATCATATATATATATATATATATATATATATGTCACGTGCGATTCACACTCTGTACTGATGTAGTTCAAGTTCAAGTATCAGTAAGCGATAATAAAACATTTGGTACCGACATGACCTGAAGAAAGGTCCTGTCAAAAATTATGGCGAGTTTATTTAGATTTTTCGAACGAATGTACCCCCCTCCCAACCGCACACGGTCACAAAAAATTAAACACCTTATAAAATGCCGTCATGCATCAGCCTACAACCTCCATCCAAATTGAAGTTTAAATTTGATTTAAATCGATTTAATTCTATAATATTTTCTGAGTTCAGTTAACATTGAGTATGATATCATTTTCTAAAGACAGCCTTTTCAAAACGCAAAAAAGACTACCTAAATTAAGTTTCATAATTTTATAACGAAAAAGTTTTAAGTCAGTGTTTCCGACGACCCGCCTTCCCCCCCCCCCCTTCTTCTCGCCATAAATGTTCGTACCTCTACCTCCCTCCCCCCCCCCCCCGACACAAACACACACACACACACACACACCTTACAAGTGTGACTTTGCGTATGCACGACTCCTATGGTATATATTGCGCTTTTCAATTTGGTTATTTTATACCCTTGGAATTTTAGGTTATAAAACATAGTATTGTAATTGATTATAATAAAATTAGCGATAAAAATATCATCTAGACATAACAGTAGGTTATTTTACTGTTTCGCTGCTGTCAAACTTTTCAAATTGAGCTTCTGGCGACCATATAGGGAAGAATTATAAAATTGAAATTACGGAAGTGTAAAGTATTTTATGTTGTGGGTATAAGCATTCAATCTTTTACCTTATCCAGTATAATTTTAAACCAAAGGCCCATGTCATTACCCATATATAGAAGAAGATGTTGACAAGACCGTGGAAGTGGATTTTAAATTAATGTTTGTTTCAAGCTACTAAAATTCACTTTTTGAGGTAATCAAGAACTAAAGAATCCTCACTCCTATCAAGAGCTGTAGAAGTTTCGATAAATTTAAATGTCAACCAAACTATTTTAATTTTTGTATAACGGTAGGACCACAACAGCTGTTCGCAATAAAAAAAAATTACCATTCTACCTTTGACAAAAACATCTAATTAAGATAAAAATGTTAATTTCAGACATCTGTCAAGTTTTATCCACATCTGTGTCACACTCAATAACATTGAACTAGCCTAGTTCAGCATGACCGACCATGTTTATTGCCCTTGCAAGGCCTCGTTTATATATATATATATATATATATATATATATATATATATATATATATATATATATATATATATATATATATATATATATATATATATATATGGCTTGGTGAACCGAGTATATATATATATATATATATATATATATATATATATATATATATATATATATATATATATATATATATATATATATATATATATATCACCACGCCATTCCCTGTTTCACTAACTTCATCAGCCCTCGCCATGTGTCGCCAAATTCCACACCGTGTTCAGTTTTTTTTTGCTGGGTAGGCAAAGCCTAGTCACCTTGTATTCCACCGTTAAACAAACATACAAGGTCGGCACAATCCAGACTTTTACCGTCGAAGTACAATGTTTATGATTGTGTTATGATTGTTATGATGCATGTTTGACTTGAGAGATCGGTGCGCATGATTGATGGTGCGGCCGTATATTGAACGAGTGAGTGTGTGACGCTGTACGCAAGAAAGTGACGTTTTAGTGTGAGTTCCGTTGTTGCCGGGGAAGAAGATTGAAGTTAGTCTTGTCCGAGTGATGTTAGAGTTAGGTTGTCTAGTTGTAGTATCGTTTATCCAAGCTGTCCGATGTCCATTTCTTATTGTGCAATAAATAGAGTTAGTAATCGATGTCGCTCTGTCAAATCCTTCGTAAGCGTTGATGTCGTCGTGTCTCAAGATATACTGTAGCATAGCTAAACATAATCAAATGGTAGTGATATGGAAAGATGGTAGTGGATCAGGTAGTTGTACCCTCTCACTGCATAACTGTGGTACACATAGAGAACACAGCAATTATAACAATGATGATCGAAGGCACGACTTCTAAACCGAAAGTCTATTGACCGGGTCCTGACTATATCGATCTCGCTGAGTCCACCCAATTCCCAATGATGCCTCACGTTACGGGAAGTAAAGACATTATCCCTTCACATGCCAATGTCATATAAATAAGGTGAACTCTACTTTATCTGCCATATGGATCGCTAGATCCGAAGAGTTAAATGTATTTTTGTGCTACTGCTCCAGAACAATAACCCCACCCCGGACATTGACCCCCAGGATATAAACCCCCTGACACACAAAACCTGGGCAGAACCCCCTCCCCCGCCGACGCAAAACCCTGGACAAAAAAAACCACCGAAAATAGAATAAATCCCACCCTAGATTCATGTTTATATTAGGAAATACTAATGACTTGTAAAACATAACCTAGCAATATAAATGTATTTATTTTATATATATAATTTTGTACTTTATTCAACAATTTAAATGTTAACCACCAAAAAAGTAGTTTATACCAAAAATTAATCCTATACAACAGAGGCAACCCGACTTTCTCATATGTGTATGCGTGTATTTATTAAATTATAAATTCATTATTCCCAAGACTAATCCCCGAAGATAATCGAACTATGACTAATATGATTATTTCTATACTTTTTTATTAAGCGATAGAGAGCTAGACTGCTAACCGAGAGCCTCGAGTTCTAATCCGAGTTGAAATCAGTGGAACGTCCCTGAGTCCACCCAGTTAGGGAAACAAAGGCGGCTGGCCATAGTGATGACCACCCTATCCACACAATGTTATTATTAATTGTCTGTTGACAAAATTATCTATTAAGAATATTCTCATTAACTGTCTCTTGACAATGTTATCTAATGAGAATGTTCTCATTAACTGTTTGTTGACAATGCTATTTATTGAGAATATTCTCATTAACCGTCTTTTGACAATGTTATCTATTGAGAATGTTCTCATTAACTGTCTCTTGACAATGTTATCTAATGAGAATGTTCTCATTAACTGTTTGTTGACAATGTTATCTATTGAGAATGTTCTCATTAACTGTTTGTTGACAATACTATCTATTGAGAATGTTCTCATTAACTGTCTGTTGACAAAGCTATCATTCCTGTCTGTTGACAATGTTTGCCTGCTTGTATTAGATCGCAGCCAGGTATAGGTTGATGGTATTGACCCCGGTGTAGTTAAGGTAATCGTGGAGAAACATAATCACCAGGGGCGGAACTACAGTGCCGCCAGACCCCGCAATGCGGGGGGTGGGCACGCCATTTAGTGGCCCATAGCCGACCATATTAAAAAAATTGTATAGTTAAATAAACCGGGAGTAATCTCCCCTAAACTTTCTCAAATATTATTATCGTGCGGCGTCAATTCGGCCAATCACGAAACGGCCCCGTCAAAACGACCCCGACAAAACGACCCCGTCAAAACGACCCCGTCAAATCGGCCCCGTCAAAAGGGCCAGCGACATATGGACCCCGTCATATAGGCTCCCGACAAATAGGCTCCCGTCATTTAGGCTACCGACAAATAGGCTCCCGTTATATAGGCTCCCGACAAAAGGGCTCCAGTCAATAAGGCTCCTGACAAATAGGCTCCCGTCATTTTGGCTCCCGACATATAGTCTCCCGTCATTTAGTTTTTTCCACAAAACGGCCCCCGTCATTACGACTCCCGACAAATAGGCTCCCGCCATTTAGTTTCTCCACAAAACGGCCCCCGTCATTACGACTCCCGACAAATAGGCTAGCGTCATTTTGGCTCCCGACAAAAAGGCTCCTGTCAATTTGGCTCCAGAAAAAAGGACCACTGACACAGTGGCGTAGCTACCGTAAAGCTAGCGTAAGCAAGGCATGGGGGCCCAAGGCACATAGGGGCCCTTTTCCCTCATAAAAAATTAAAACTTTTACAATGGAATTTTAATATTTGTTACATATAAAAAAAATTTAAAAAGAAAAAGGTTAAAAGTTTCAAAAAGCCCCCCCCCCCCCACCGTTTCGGCAGTGGGATTCAGTGTTTGTGGGTCAAACAGAGCCCAATCGTTATAATAACACTACAGGCTATATCACTTTGTCGTGCAAGACATTGAGAGAATCAGCCTATAAATAAACTGTTTAGCAGTAGTAGCAGAGGCGTAGCGACCCCACCCGGCGCCCGGGGACAAACTTTTCGATTTGCACCCCACCCCCCCCCCCTCGAGATTTCGATTTGCACCCCCCCCCCCTCAAACTTTCGATTTGCACCCCCCCCCTGGAGATTTTGATTTGCACCCCCCCCTGGAGATTTTGATTTGCACCCCCCCCCCCCTCGATATTTTTATTTGCACACCCCCCCCCCCCCCCTCAAACTTTCAATTTGCACCCCCCTCAACCTTTCAATTTATTTTTCCAACCCATTTTGGCGCCCCCTAAGCTCGGCGCCCGGGGACATATGTCCCCCCCGCCCCACCCCTCGCTACGCTACTGAGTAGTAGGCAAGCATAATAATATAGTATAAATACAAAATCAGGACATATAAAATACAAAATGTTGCCTTCAGAATATTTATATATTAAAAAATATCCATCGTAAGTAGAAGTTGATCTCTTCGTTTAACTCCTCTGTAGCCTAACGCAGAGGCGTAGCGAAGGCGAGGTGGGGGGTGCGGACCGCAACGGGTGACACCATTTAGGGGGGGGGGGGGTGACACCAAAGGCAAAAAATTGTAAAATTTATAGAATGAAATGCCATTTTCCAGATCCATTAGTTAAAGTTAAATAGTCTTCTAAGTACAAATCGAAAATTATATCAAGAGGGGGGGGGGGTGTGACACCACGACGTAATCGTAAACTATAAAGAAAACAATGCTACATCCAACTGTATTATAAACAGACTGTAGATAAACATCGTTACTATTAAGTCAGCAGTGATTAAAGCTTAAACACGTACGTGTACCAGTATGTGGCATATATATAAATTTTAGGCCTATGTAGGCCGACACACACACACACACACACATATATATATATATATATATATATATATATATATATATATATATATATATATATATATATATATATATATATATATATATATATGCTTTGTTTCCTGGGAGGGGGTGACAATACGAAGTGCCGCACCGGGTGAGACCCGACCTAGCGACGCCACTGGCCTAACGGCTGACGAAGGGGCCCACTGATAATTTTTGCATAGGGGCCCAAAAATCCTAGCTACGCCACTGCACTGACAATACCGTTTCTGTAGAGACTAATCTCCCGGCAAAGCGGTCTCATTGAATATGACATCTGCCAGTGGGACCCCTTCATCAATATTCTTTAGTTAGCTTATCCAACACTCTTATGTAATACAACGTATGCATCTCTTGTTCGGCAGGCCTTATTTTTATATTAGTTTATCTATTATAAAATATAGTATGTTTTAATTTAAGGGTCATCTATCTATGACATCCATACTTGAGTCGGTTATAGGCTGTTCCAACTCAGTGTGTGGGGAGAAGAGTCCACGCTGTACCTTCCTAACTGCAATATGCTTGTACAGGGGCGTAGCGAAAGGGGGGGGGGGTGCGGACCGCACTGGGTGACACCATTTAGGGGGGTGAAACAAAGGCAAAAAATAGCAAAATATATAGAGAAAAAGTTGAGGGGGTGAGGGTGCAAATCGAAAGTTTGGGGGGGGGGGGTGCAAATCGAAAACTTGAAAGTTTGTCCCCGGGAAGGGTCGCAACGCCTCTGGGGGGGGGGGGGTGACACCATTAAGTGCCGCACCGGGTGACACCCGACCTCGCTACGCCACTGTGCTTGTAGGTTATCAAAACAAAATGCTGTTATCATGTTAACATCATGTATATCATACATTTACACTTCTGTGCTCGCTTTTAAGCAACAGATCTTTTCTGTTGTAAATTAAACATTTTCAAAACTTTAGAATTGGTGGAATTTAGCTGTTAAGGGCTCGATTTGTTTGTGAATTAATGTTGGTTCATGAAAAAATAATTTCATTCGGGCATTAAAAAGAGGTTATGGTGGTATTGGAGGTAGGACCCAATGGTTACTTTTATGCCAATAGTGGTCATATCATTCATTTTTCTGGAGCCAATATGTCGGGAGTCATTTTGTCAAAAGGCAATATGTCGGGAGCCCAATTGCCGGGAGCCAATATGTCGGGAGCCCATTTGTCGGTAGCCAAAATGTCGTGAGCCCATTTGCCGGGAGCCCATTTGTCTTGAGCCCTTATGTCGGGAGCCAATATGTCGGGAGCCGCTTTGTCGGGAGCCAATATGTCCTGAGCCTATTTGTCAGGGGTTAATATGTCGGGAGTCCATTTGTCGGGAGCCTAAATATCGGGAGCCCATTTGTCGGGAGCCTATATGTCGCAAGTCAATATGACGGGAGCCCATTTGACGGGAGCCAATAAGTCGGGGCCCTTTTGACGGGGCTATTTTGACGGGGTCGGTTTGTCGGGAGTCGATTTGACGGGGTCGTATTAACGGGGCCGTTTTGACGGGGCCGATTTGTCCCGGGCCGTTTTGACAGGGCACCATTATTATATAACATTACGTGGGATGGCAACTCGGAATATAGACATGATTTTTAATTACTGAAACTTTTAAAAATAGAATAGAATCTCGTAGAAAAAAGAACTGCGCACCAAGTGAATGCCAAATAAAGATGTGCATAATAGTGCGCAATATTATTAATAGTTTATGAATTCACATGCGTTTTTTGAGAAATATGAAATAGCGTAAATTACTACTTCCGATCAACGGAAATTACTCAAAATTTGACTGACGGTAGAGAATTAGATAATTTACTTACATGTGAAATTATATTTATCTATCTAAAATAGTACTCAAGTTATAGGCTTTTGAAAAATTCAAAGTAGAAAAAGTACCACTTCCGGTTATCGGAAATTGCGCAAAAGTTGAAACGAATCTACGATTTTGATAAAATACTTATATATGAAATTTCATCAACCTAGCTGTAACGGTACTCAAGTGATCGTGTTTACACACACACAGACACACACACACAGACACACACACACACAGACACACAGACATACGGACAAGATAGCAAAAATATGTTTTTCCGTATCAGTGAGGTATAAAACGTCGAAATTTGTGAAAATCTCGATTTTTTTTTTGCACGATTACAAGACTTTCTCTATACTTCGTATATAATTAAAAATTATGCTACTCGTGTTTTGGTTATTCAGTTATTTTGATTTATTGATTTATTATAGTTTTGCTGATGTCACCTAGAAAAAAATGTATTTTGATTAAAATTCCGAACACCTAAGTACTCGTTGTTAGTTACATAAGGGCAGCGACCAGTCCCGGGAGTCAATTTGACGTTTCGACGGTTGTCGAACATTGTAGGTTCGACAACAATTAGAGATAGTGATCTTTAGACAAACAACAGTTATCTAACTTCTATTAAAAAAAATAAAGTGTGTAAATATCAGACCCAGTCATTTAGTGCGAGCCTGTACATAATATCTTAGTTAAAAATAAAACAAATTTCAAAAAGAGAGCAATCAAAAGATTTATTATATTTTTATTTTATTTTGGTGAAACTCTGGAAAAAAAATATTAATAGCAAAAGATCCGAAAATGCTTTAAAAGGTTCCAGTAAACTGCTTTCATCTTTTTGTTTTGTATGTTACAATAAGAATTCATTAACTTAAAATTTCATTTTATGCAGTTCAAATAAATTAATATGATTTTTTTTTAACTACACCTAGTCAATGTAAAATAATTCCTGCAGATTTTAAACAAATGAAGAATTTAACGTAAATGTGTGTATGGTATATGTATATCTCAGTACACTATCACGCGAAATAACGTAACACATAAAATAATGTGTTGTCAGATATCGCACAACGTGTTAAATAATTTTATAACCAACATACAACTGCAAGCAACACAAAAGTGAAAAATATGTTCATCTTGACGTCGGTAGAGGAGTTTCTGTCTTCTTCTGTTGATATACGAGTGGCTGTTAATAACATAACATAATTAATTTAACATCATTATTTTATTTTCTAAATATAAATCTAAAAAGAATAGCAAACGAACATACAAACATACAAATATGTATGCATGCATACAAACATATATACATGCATGCATTTCTGAACAAAGCAAATAATTGTTAACAACAGTTTTTGTCTTCATGAAGTATTAATGTATAACTCCTTGGTTAAAACAATAATGTTTTTCAACGTACCTTCGCCAGTATTTATTGCAGATGCTTCAGTAGCTGTAACACTGTTATCTGTAATTTATTTATTACACAACGAATTTAAATTGTGTTAAACCTTTAAATACGATTTCTGAACAAAACAAATAATTGTTAATAATAGTTTTATGTTTCAAGAAGTATTATTGTACAGCACTTTGGTTGAGGTTAAAACTAATGTGTGTGTCAAAGTATTTTTGCAGGAAATAATACTGGTGATTTAGTAGTTGTAACACTGTTATCTATAATTTATTTTATAAAGGATATAGTATCGTCTTTAAACTTTAATTCTGATATATAATTAAAAAGATTGATCGTTTCCAATAGGGGGTGTTCTATAAAAATACAATATATATTATTTTGGTTACCAAAAACTTAATTGTCAACCTACCATTCTGAGCATTTTTTTCTTGTGCTTTACTAGCCGAACCAAAATCACCTGTAATGTAATAGACAGCATTTTTTAAATGTAATTTGACTTTTTAATTATTATTTCTAAAACAATATATTAGTTGTCATTATAGTGAGTTTCTTCAGGAAGTATAATTGTATATTCTTTTAATTACTCTAACTGTACTGTACTCGTCTACTTATCTATGCCAACTTTCATCTTTGGTTCAATAATAGCCGAATAGTTTTTTAATTGTGTTGTAATACACTACGCTTTTAACTTTTTTTCGAAATGCTTAAATATTTTTTTCTAAAGAAAACAAATGTTTATTTACTTTATATATTAATCTTGAAAGTGTAATATGTATATTTGTTTGATAACTACGACTGTACATGACAACTTACTTCAATCAGCATTGTTCGATTATGGGGTAGAAAACGAATAACTAAAAAGATATATGTTTTACACAACGATTTTAAATTGTGTTAAACATTTAAATACGATTTCTGAACAAAGCAAATTATTCTTTTCAATAACTATTTGCTTCAAAATATATTATTGTAAAACTCTTTGGTTAAAACAAATGTTTTTGTCAATAGTTTTATGCTTCATTTAGTATTATTGTATAACACTTTGTTTAAGGTTAAAACAAATGTATAATTTGTCAGCGTATTTTTGTCAGTATTTAGTGCTTGTGATTTAGTAGTTGTAACAGTGTTATCTATAATTTATTTTATAAAAGATTTAGTTTTGTCTTCAAACATTAAATGCGATATATAATTGAAATGATAGGTCGTTTCCAATAGGGGATGTTCTATAAAAATACAATGTATATTACTTTGATAACCGCATTTTTAATTTTCAACTTACCATTCTGAGCATTGTTTGGTGGTGCTGTACTATCCGAACGAAAATCACCTGTAATGTAATAGACAGCATTTTTTCAAATTTGATTTTTAATTACTATTTTATGCAGATGCTTCAATACTTGTAACACTGTTATCTGTAAATTATTTATTGCACAACCAGTTTAAATTGTGTTAAACCTTTAAATACGATTTCTGAACATAGCAAACTATTGTTAACAACAGTTTGTTTCTTCATGAAGTGTTATTGTATGACTAATTAGTTAAAACAATAATGTTTGTCAACGTACCTTCACCAGTATTTAATGCAGATGCTTCAGTAGCTGTAACACTGTTATCTGTAATTTATTTATTACACAACGAATTTAAATTGTGTTAAACCTTTAAATACGATTTCTGAACATAGCAAACTGTTGTTAACAATAGTTTTATGCTTCATTTAGTATTATTGTATAACACTTTGTTTAAGGTTAAAACAAATGTATAATTTGTCAGCGTATTTTTGTCAGTATTTAGTGCTTGTGATTTAGTAGTTGTAACAGTGTTATCTATAATTTATTTTATAAAAGATTTAGTTTTGTCTTCAAACATTAAATGCGATATATAATTGAAATGATAGGTCGTTTCCAATAGGGGATGTTCTATAAAAATACAATGTATATTACTTTGATAACCACATTTTTAATTTTCAACTTACCATTCTGAGCATTGTTTGGTGGTGCTGTACTATCCGAACGAAAATCACCTGTAATGTAATAGACAGCATTTTTTCAAATTTGATTTTTAATTATTATTTTATGCAGATGCTTCAGTACTTGTAACACTGTTATCTGTAAATTATTTATTGCACAACCAGTTTAAATTGTGTTAAACCTTTAAATACGATTTCTGAACAAAGCAAATAATTGTTAACAACAGTTTGTTTCTTCATGAAGTGTTATTGTATGACTAATTAGTTAAAACAATAATGTTTGTCAACGTACCTTCACCAGTATTTAATGCAGATGCTTCAGTAGCTGTAACACTGTTATCTGTAATTTATTTATTACACAACGAATTTAAATTGTGTTAAACCTTTAAATACGATTTCTGAACATAGCAAACTATTGTTAACAATAGTTTTATGCTTCATTTAGTATTATTGTATAACACTTTGTTTAAGGTTAAAACAAATGTATAATTTGTCAGCGTATTTTTGTCAGTATTTAGTGCTTGTGATTTAGTAGTTGTAACAGTGTTATCTATAATTTATTTTATACAAGATTTAGTTTTGTCTTCAAACATTAAATGCGATATATAATTGAAATGATAGGTCGTTTCCAATAGGGGATGTTCTATAAAAATACAATGTATATTACTTTGATAACCACATTTTTAATTTTCAACTTACCATTCTGAGCATTGTTTGGTGGTGCTGTACTATCCGAACGAAAATCACCTGTAATGTAATAGACAGCATTTTTTCAAATTTGATTTTTAATTACTATTTTATGCAGATGCTTCAATACTTGTAACACTGTTATCTGTAAATTATTTATTGCACAACCAGTTTAAATTGTGTTAAACCTTTAAATACGATTTCTGAACAAAGCAAATAATTGTTAACAACAGTTTGTTTCTTCATGAAGTGTTATTGTATGACTACTTAGTTAAAACAATAATGTTTGTCAACGTACCTTCACCAGTATTTAATGCAGATGCTTCAGTAGCTGTAACACTGTTATCTGTAATTTATTTATTACACAACGAATTTAAATTGTGTTAAACCTTTAAATACGATTTCTGAACATAGCAAACTATTGTTAACAATAGTTTTATGCTTCATTTAGTATTATTGTATAGCACTTTGTTTAAGGTTAAAACAAATGTATAATTTGTCAGCGTATTTTTGTCAGTATTTATTGCTTGTGATTTAGTAGTTGTAACAGTGTTATCTATAATTTATTTTATAAAAGATTTAGTTTTGTCTTCAAACATTAAATGCGATATATAATTGAAATGATAGGTCGTTTCCAATAGGGGATGTTCTATAAAAATACAATGTATATTACTTTGATAACCACAGTTTTAATTTTCAACTTACCATTCTGAGCATTGTTTGGTGGTGCTGTACTATCCGAACGAAAATCACCTGTAATGTAATAGACAGCATTTTTTCAAATTTGATTTTTTATTATTATTTATGCAGATGCTTCAGTACTTGTAACACTGTTATCTGTAAATTATTTATTGCACAACCAGTTTAAATTGTGTTAAACCTTTAAATACGATTTCTGAACAAAGCAAATAATTGTTAACAACAGTTTGTTTCTTCATGAAGTGTTATTGTATGACTAATTAGTTAAAACAATAATGTTTGTCAACGTACCTTCACCAGTATTTAATGCAGATGCTTCAGTAGCTGTAACACTGTTATCTGTAATTTATTTATTACACAACGAATTTAAATTGTGTTAAACCTTTAAATACGATTTCTGAACATAGTAAAATATTGTTAACAATAGTTTTATGCTTCATTTAGTATTATTGTATAATACTTTGTTTAAGGTTAAAACAAATGTATAATTTGTCAGCATATTTTTGTCAGTATTTAGTGCTTGTGATTTAGTAGTTGTAACACTGTTATCTATAATTTATTTTATAAAAGATTTAGTTTTGTCTTCAAACATTAAATGCGATATATAATTGAAATGATAGGTCGTTTCCAATAGGGGATTTTCTATAAAAATACAATGTATATTACTTTGATAACCACATTTTTAATTTTCAAATTAACCATTCTGAGCATTGTTTGGTGGTGCTGTACTATCCGAACGAAAATCACCTGTAATGTAATAGACAGCATTTTTTCAAATTTGATTTTTAATTATTATTTTATTCAGATGCTTCAGTACTTGTAACACTGTTATCTGTAAATTATTTATAGCACAACCAGTTTAAATTGTGTTAAACCTTTAAATACGATTTCTGAACAAAGCAAATAATTGTTAACAACAGTTTGTTTCTTCATGAAGTGTTATTGTATGACTAATTAGTTAAATCAATAATGTTTGTCAACGAACCTTCACCAGTATTTAATGCAGATGCTTCAGTAGCTGTAACACTGTTATCTGTAATTTATTTATTACACAACGAATTTAAATTGTGTTAAACCTTTAAATACGATTTCTGAACATAGCAAACTATTGTTAACAATAGTTTTATGCTTCATTTAGTATTATTGTATAACACTTTGTTTAAGGTTAAAACAAATGTATAATTTGTCAGCGTATTTTTGTCAGTATTTAGTGCTTGTGATTTAGTAGTTGTAACACTGTTATCTATAATTTATTTTATAAAAGATTTAGTTTTGTCTTCAAACATTAAATGCGATATATAATTGAAATGATAGGTCGTTTCCAATAGGGGATATTCTATAAAAATACAATGTATATTACTTTGATAACCACATTTTTAATTTTCAACTTACCATTCTGAGCATTGTTTGGTGGTGCTGTACTATCCGAACGAAAATCACCTGTAATGTAATAGACAGCATTTTTTCAAATTTGATTTTTAATTATTATTTTATGCAGATGCTTCAGTACTTGTAACACTGTTATCTGTAAATTATTTATTGCACAACCAGTTTAAATTGTGTTAAACCTTTAAATACGGTTTCTGAACAAAGCAAATAATTGTTAACAACAGTTTGTTTCTTCATGAAGTGTTATTGTATGACTAATTAGTTAAAACAATAATGTTTGTCAACGTACCTTCACCAGTATTTAATGCAGATGCTTCAGTAGCTGTAACACTGTTATCTGTAATTTATTTATTACACAACGAATTTAAATTGTGTTAAACCTTTAAATACGATTTCTGAACATAGCAAACTATTTTTATCCAAAGTTTTATGCTTCATTAAGTATTATTGTATAACACTTTGTTTAAGGTTAAAACAAATGTATAATTTGTCAGCGTATTTTTGCTAGTATTTAATGCTTGTGATTTAGTAGTTGTAACACTATAATTTTTTTTATAAAAGATTTAGTTTTGTCTTCAAATCTGTAATTTATTTATTACACAACGAATTTATATTGTGTTAAACCAAAATCACCTGTAATGTAATAGACAGTATTTTATCAAATGTTATTTAATTTTTTAAATTATTATTTCTAAAACAAGAAATTAGTTGTTATTATAGTGAGTTGCTTCAGGAAGTGTAATTGTATATTCCTTTGGTTACTATAACTGTACTTCTCAACTTACCTTTATCTTCACTCTTTGTTTGTTCAGTACTATAATCGTTTTGACTTGTCATTTACAATTTCTTAAAACAGCAAATGTTATTTTACTCAAGTGTTTGCCGGAATAATTATAATAAGTATATTACTTATTCACTTACCTTTGCCAGCATTAATTGTTGGCGCTGCAGTAGTCGAAATTCTATCATCTGTCGTCTAACCATAACGTGAGATGGGACTAGATTTCACTTACCAAACATTAAACAAAAGACGATAATGAGAATCTGTCGCAGCAACATTATAATAGGGCTGTCAAACTCGAATTGACTTGATAAAAGTTGGCTGATCACGTGATTCCAAAGTAACTTGTTTTCCTATTTGTGATGCAGTAGCTAGAGGGGATACAATATTGTAATTAATTAAACTATTTGATTAAACTATAACATATAAGTTGATTGCAAAGCCTTCATAATACATATCAATATGCAACTAGGTGTTTGTTTTGTCGTATAGTTTTGAGTGATGATTTGACAACAGTAAACTATTGCCTATTAATTTTGAATTTAGCACACTTTCCACACATCTGATGGGTTCAAGGAACGGTGTAATCGACACAAATTGGCATCCGTTTAGACATAGGATCTGATGAAAGGAATCCAGAGTAGTTCTTTCATTTGAATATTCCACTCCGGATGATTTTGGAAATCTCTCTCAAATGGGTGAAAGAGTAAGTATAACTGTCGTGTCATGTTGGTAATAGGGTAAAAGTAAAAATAAGCGAAAGCTAAATAAACCTAAAAGGAAACGTAAACGTAAGTTTTTAAATGTGAGAGTATGTGCAAGTGTGAGTGAAATTTGAAGTGATAATGTTACTATTATAATGTTAAGATGGAGATGGAGATGGAGATAAACATGGAGATGGAGGTGGAGGTGGAAGTGGAGATGGAGATGGAGATGGTGGTGGAGGTGGAGGTGGAGATTGAGATGGAGATGGAGATGGAGATGGAGATGGAGATGGAGATGGAGATGGAGATGGAGGTGGAGATGGAGATGTAAGTTGATGTGGAGATGGAGATGGAGATGGAGATGGAGATGGAGATAGAAGTTGAGGTGGAGATGGAGATGGAGATGGAGATGGAGATGGAGATGGAGGTGGAGGTGGAAGTTGAGGTGGAGATGGAGTTGGAAATGGAGATGGAGATGGAGATGGAGATGGAGATGGAAATGGAGGTTGAGGTGGAGATGGAGTTGGAAATGGAGATGGAGGAGATGGAGATGGAGATGGAGATGGAGATGGAGGTGGAGGTGGAGGTGGAAGTGGAGGTGGAGATGGAGATGGAGATGGAGATGGAGATGGAGATGGAGAAGGAGATGGAGATGGAGATGGAGATGGAGATGGAGATGGAGATGGAAGTTTAGGTTGAGATGGAGATGGAGATGGAGATGGAGATGGAGATGGAGATGGAGATAGAGATGGAGATGGAAGTTTAGGTTGAGATGGAGATGGAGATGGAGATGGAGATGGAGATGGAGATGGAGATGGAGATGGAGATGGAGATGGAGATGGAGATGGAGGAGATGGAAATGGAGATGGAGATGGAGATGGAGATGGAGATGGAGGAGATGGAGATGGAGATGGAGATGGAGATGGAGGTGGAGATGGAGATGGAGATGGAGATGGAAGTTGAGGTGGAGATGGAGATGGAGATGGAGATAAACATGGAGATGGAGATGTAAGTTGATGTGGAGATGGAGATGGAGATGGAGATGGAGATGGAGATGGAGATAGAAGTTGAGGTGGAGATGGAGATGGAGATGGAGATGGAGATGGAGGTGGAGGTGGAGGTGGAGTTGGAAATGGAGATGGAGATGGAGGAGATGGAGATGGAGATGGAGATGGAGATGGAAGTTGAGGTGGAGATGGAGATGGAGATGGAGATGGAGATGGAGATGGAGATGGAGATGGAGATGGAGATGGAGATGGAGATGGAGATGGAGATGGAAATGGAGATGGAGTTGGAAATGGAGATGGAGATGGAGATGGAGATGGAGATTGAGATGGAGATGGAGGTGGAGATGGAGATGGAGATGGAAGTTGAGGTGGAGATGGAGATGGAGATGGAGATGGAGATGGAGATGGAGATGGAGATGGAGATGGAGATGGAGATCGAGGTGGAGATGGAGATGGAGATGGAGATGGAGGTTGAGGTGGAGATGGAGTTGGAAATGGAGATGGAGATGGAGATGGAGATGGAGATGGAGATGGAGATCGAGGTGGAGATGGAGATGGAGGTTGAGGTGGAGATGGAGATGGAGATGGAGATGGAGATGGAGATGGAGATGGAGATGGAAGTTTAGGTTGAGATGGAGATGGAGATGGAGATGGAGATGGAGATAGAGATGGAGATGGAAGTTTAGGTTGAGATGGAGATGGAGATGGAGATGGAGATGGAGATGGAGATGGAGATGGAGATGGAGATGGAGGAGATGGAAATGGAGATGGAGATGGAGATGGAGATGGAGATGGAGGAGATGGAGATGGAGATTGAGATGGAGATGGAGGTGGAGATGGAGATGGAGATGGAGATGGAAGTTGAGGTGGAGATGGAGATGGAGATGGAGATAAACATGGAGATGGAGATGTAAGTTGATGTGGAGATGGAGATGGAGATGGAGATGGAGATGGAGATAGAAGTTGAGGTGGAGATGGAGATGGAGATGGAGATGGAGATGGAGGTGGAGGTGGAGGTGGAGTTGGAAATGGAGATGGAGATGGAGGAGATGGAGATGGAGATGGAGATGGAGATGGAAGTTGAGGTGGAGATGGAGATGGAGATGGAGATGGAGATGGAGATGGAGATGGAGATGGAGATGGAGATGGAGATGGAGATGGAAATGGAGATGGAGTTGGAAATGGAGATGGAGATGGAGATGGAGATGGAGATTGAGATGGAGATGGAGGTGGAGATGGAGATGGAGATGGAAGTTGAGGTGGAGATGGAGATGGAGATGGAGATGGAGATGGAGATGGAGATGGAGATGGAGATGGAGATGGAGATCGAGGTGGAGATGGAGATGGAGATGGAGGTTGAGGTGGAGATGGAGTTGGAAATGGAGATGGAGATGGAGATGGAGATGGAGATGGAGATGGAGATGGAGATCGAGGTGGAGATGGAGATGGAGATGGAGATGGAGATGGAGGTTGAGGTGGAGATGGAGATGGAGATGGAGATGGAGATGGAGATGGAGATGGAGATGGAGATGGAGATGGAGGTTGAAGTGGAGATGGAGTTGGAAATGGAGATGGAGATGGAGATGGAGATGGAGATGGAGATGGAGATGGAGATGGAGGAGATGGAGATGGAGGAGATGGAGATGGAGGAGATGGAGATGGAGGAGATGGAGATGGAGATGGAGATGGAGATGGAGATGGAGATGGAGATGGAGATGGCGATGGAGGTGCAGATGGAGATGGAGGTGGAGATGGAGATGGAGATGGAGATGGAGGAGATGGAGATGGAGATGGAGGTGGAGATGGAGATGGAGATGGAGGAGATGGAGATGGAGGAGATGGAGATGGAGGAGATGGAGATGGAGATGGAGATGGAGATGGAGATGGAGATCGAGGTGGAGATGGAGATAAACATGGAGATGGAGATGGAACTTGAGGTGGAGATTGAGATGGAGATGGAGATGGAGATGGAGATGGAGATGGAAGTTTAGGTTGAGATGGAGATGGAGATGGAGATGGAGATGGAGATGGAGATGGAGATAGAGATGGAGATGGAAGTTTAGGTTGAGATGGAGATGGAGATGGAGATGGAGATGGAGATGGAGATGGAGATGGAGGAGATGGAAATGGAGATGGAGATGGAGATGGAGATGGAGATGGAGGAGATGGAGATGGAGATGGAGATGGAGATGGAGGTGGAGATGGAGATGGAGATGGAGATGGAAGTTGAGGTGGAGATGGAGATGGAGATGGAGATAAACATGGAGATGGAGATGTAAGTTGATGTGGAGATGGAGATGGAGATGGAGATGGAGATGGAGATAGAAGTTGAGGTGGAGATGGAGATGGAGATGGAGATGGAGATGGAGGTGGAGGTGGAGGTGGAGTTGGAAATGGAGATGGAGATGGAGGAGATGGAGATGGAGATGGAGATGGAGATGGAAGTTGAGGTGGAGATGGAGATGGAGATGGAGATGGAGATGGAGATGGAGATGGAGATGGAGATGGAGATGGAGATGGAGATGGAAATGGAGATGGAGTTGGAAATGGAGATGGAGATGGAGATGGAGATGGAGATTGAGATGGAGATGGAGGTGGAGATGGAGATGGAGATGGAAGTTGAGGTGGAGATGGAGATGGAGATGGAGATGGAGATGGAGATGGAGATGGAGATGGAGATGGAGATGGAGATCGAGGTGGAGATGGAGATGGAGATGGAGATGGAGGTTGAGGTGGAGATGGAGTTGGAAATGGAGATGGAGATGGAGATGGAGATGGAGATGGAGATGGAGATGGAGATCGAGGTGGAGATGGAGATGGAGATGGAGATGGAGATGGAGGTTGAGGTGGAGATGGAGATGGAGATGGAGATGGAGATGGAGATGGAGATGGAGATGGAGGTTGAAGTGGAGATGGAGTTGGAAATGGAGATGGAGATGGAGATGGAGATGGAGATGGAGATGGAGATGGAGGAGATGGAGATGGAGGAGATGGAGATGGAGGAGATGGAGATGGAGGAGATGGAGATGGAGATGGAGATGGAGATGGAGATGGAGATGGAGATGGCGATGGAGGTGCAGATGGAGATGGAGGTGGAGATGGAGATGGAGATGGAGATGGAGGAGATGGAGATGGAGATGGAGGTGGAGATGGAGATGGAGATGGAGGAGATGGAGATGGAGGAGATGGAGATGGAGGAGATGGAGATGGAGATGGAGATGGAGATGGAGATGGAGATGGAGATGGAGATGGAGATGGAGGTGGAGATGGAGATGGAGATGGAGGTGGAGATGGAGATGGAGATGGAGATGGAGATGGAGATGGAGGAGGTGGAGATGGAGATGGAGATGGAGATGGAGATGGAGATGGAGATGGAGGAGATGGAGATGGAGATGGAGATGGAGATGGAGATGGAGGTGGAGATGGAGATGGAGATGGAGGAGATGGAGATGGAGATGGAGATGGAGGAGATGGAGATGGAGATGGAGATGGAGATGGAGATGGAGATGGAGATGGAGATGGAGATGGAGATGGAGATGGAGGAGATGGAGATGGAGATGGAGATGGAGATGGAGGAGATGGAGATGGAGATGGAGGTGGAGATGGAGATGGAGATGGAGATGGAGATGGAAGTTGAGGTGGAGATGGAGATGGAGATGG